CGTTGTACTTTTCAATAACGCAAATCATTCAAACATTTCTAGGGGTTGACGCCTTTTGGTTAAACTTTTCACTAACGTGAGAAATTGAAAATGTGCATACGCTGACATCTCAAACCTTAGATTTACGAATTAATCCAAATAGAGGTGAAATTGAATTTTTTTTATTAAAAAGTCGTTTTACGTCGTAAAAAAAGGAACGAAAACTGTTGACTTGTTATGTCGAACAAAGGCGGTATTCCAACCAATGGATTTTCACTACTATAAAAATAAATAACTCTGGTATTTAGAGATATCGGAGGGCATCATTTTGCCTTACTCCTTCAGTGTGTTCTACCGATCCTTATGTATATATTCCAGTTATGTTTATGGGTATATTTAAGGGTTTTGCTTTAGAAGCTGAAAATGAACATGTGGGTAAGCTTTCGAAAACGTACGTGTGGTTTCTGTACGAAACTCTATATCCAATATGTTCACAAATACAAACAGAAATGCACACATAAGTCAAACGTACACACACCGTATACACCCGATCGCCTGTAACCACCCTATTCCCTTTTTGCTTCAATGGTGGCACTACATCTAATATCCGATTCCCCCTTTGTCAGCTTTAATGGTATGTGATACTTGTCTATATCCTACCGATTCCCTCTTTGTCAGCCTTCATGGCATGTGATGCTTGTCTTCTATATCCACCCAATTCCCTCTTTGTCAGCCTTCACGGTATGTGATACTTGTCTTTTATATCCACCCGATTCCCTCTTTGTCAGCCTTCATCGTATGTTATATTTGTCTTCTATATCCACCCGATTCCCTCTTTGTCAGCCTTCATCGTATGTGATATTTGTCTTCTATATCCACCCAATTCCCTCTTTGTCAGCCTTCACGGTATGTGATATTTGTCTTCTATATCCACCCAATTCCCTCTTTGTCAGCCTTCATCGTATGTGATACTTGTCTTCTATATCCACCCGATTCCCTCTTTGTCAGCCTTCACAGTATATGCTACTGTCTTCTATATCCACCCTCTTTGTCAGCCTTCATGGTCTGTGATACTTGTCTATATCCACCCGATTCCCTCTTTGTCGGCTTCCAGCGCTATGTGAAACACCAGACTCGGATACAAGGAGGACACTTTTGTATCAACATGTGATGCTACTTGTTCCGAATGGAGTATATTTAGTTTGCAGTGATCAGGATGAGCGAGTTTCTCCGTGACTTGCGGAACCAGCTGCCCATGCCGTGTCCTGCATATCGTTGATTACTCTTCTCAGTGTTGTGAAGGGAAGGCATGCCAGGAATCTCTACTTACATGGGTCAAGGGTCGTTACAGGTGGACGCTAGTGGGATAAGTAAATGTTTCCTTACCTGTGTAAACTCCACATCTTAATATCAGTGTGCTCTTTATGGGTGCCACGACCAACGGGATTTCCCTTGCGGTGGAATGTCGGACTCATCATGAGCGGACCATTGGGGCAAATCATCTTGTTTGTCTTGTGTTATTTTGGAGATACATAATGTATAACTGTAGATTCGGATGCCGATTATATATATATATATATATATATATATATATATATATATATATATATATATATATATACATGGGGAAAGTGGCTGTGCGGGTAGAAACACACAGAGGAGGCCCTCATTCGGCAGTAACTGGCACTGACAGTCGACATTCTAAGACGTACTGTGGGATTAGGGGGTCGTCCTGGGTCGGACTATACTGTGGATTAGGGGGTCGTGTTAGGTCGGACTATACAATGGATTAGGGGTCGTCCTGGGTCGGACTATACTGTGGGATTAGGGGTCGTGTTGGGTCGGACTATACTGTGGATTAGGGGTCGTGTTGGATCGGACTAAACTGTGGATTAGGGGGCGTGTTGGTTCGGACTATACTGTGGATTAGGGGGTCGTCCTGGGTCGGACTATACTGTGGATTAGGGGGTCGTGTTGGGTCAGACTATACAATGGGATTAGAGGGTCGTGTTGGGTCAGACTTTACATGGGATTAGAGAGTCGTGTTGGGTCGGACTATACTGTGGGATTCGGGGGTCGTGTTGGGTCGGACTATACAGTGGGATTAGGGGGTCGTGTTGGGTCGGACTATACAATGGATTAGAGGGTCGTGTTGGGTCAGACTTTACATGGGATTAGGGAGTCGTGTTGGGTCGGACTATACTGTGGGATTCGGGGGTCGTGTTGGGTCGGACTATACAGTGGGATTAGGGGCTCGTGTTGGGTCGGACTATACAGTGGGATTAGGGGGTCGTGTTGGCTCGGACTATACAATGGGATTAGGGGGTCGTGTTGGGTCGGACTATACAATGGATTAGGGGGTCGTGTTGGGTCAGACTATACAATGGGATTAGGGGTCGTGTTGGGTCGGACTATACAATGGATTAGAGGGTCGTGTTGGGTTTGACTATACATGGGATTAGGGGGTCGTGTTGGCTCGGACTATACAATGGGATTAGGGGGTCGTGTTGGCTCGTACTATACTGTGGGATTAGGGGGTCGTGTTGGGTGGGACTAAAACTGTGGGATTAGGGGGTCGTGTTGGCTCGGACTATACAATGGGATTAGGGGGTCGTGTTGGGGGCACTAAAACTGTGGAATTAAGGGGTCGTGTTGGATAGGACTAAATCTGTGGGATTAGGGGGTCGTCTGTTCAGATTATACAGTGGGATTAAATAGAGGGTGTTGTAGGGCCTGTCCATATAGCGCACCACCACAGCATAACTCTACAAATTGCGTATAATCTGTTACATTCTGGCACCGAGAGAGTTCGGGCGTAGTTCGATCAACACCCGGAGAGAAGCACGTGTACACCACTTTACGAACGAAAATGAACGAACAGCATAATATTTCTTATGCTGGAATAAGTGTGCGCTCTAGAACATGATACGCAATAGAACTTTGCATGTGCTATTTTCCTGTCAGAGAGTTAATGTTTTCCTAAGGTTCACTCGGATGCCAGTTCCGAGACGTCAATCTAGAGTAACTATTTGTTCTGGAATTTAGTTACATTTCCCACCATGTCAGTGTTAAATGTCAAAGATAGTTTGGCAATCCACTACCAAGTCAAAATATCATCTCTTAATTCTTGCGACTAGATAAGTGGTTTTATCACGACCCAGAGTCAACAGAGGGGTGTCACAAGTCTCCCCAGTGGGTGATCGGGGACATGACAAGGCTCACATACATTTATCTTCATAGTTCTTACAATCACTTATTGTTATGTATGCCTCCTGACCCTAGATCCCCCTACATCCAGGGGGTCCTCACACGAAATGGAAAAATCCTAAACACGGAAAGTGTTTTCATGATGGTTAAGACGTGATCTGTTCGGCTGATGACCCCACTACAGTACCGGCCAAAATCAAGTCTCACTATTGCCGTTCATTTGTGTGTTGATATTTACAGCAGTAAAACAGGGCCTAGATTTTCAAAGCTCTCTTAGCGCTATGATAGTCGTAAGTTAATGTTAATGTATGGCACTTACGACTATCTTAGCGCTAAGACAGCTTCGAAAATCTAGGTCCAGGACTACAAAATGAATTAAGTTTATTAACCTTTACTTAAAACAACGGATCGTCTCTATAAAGTATTTGGGTGGATCACAGTTTAAATTAGGTGGTAGCCTAGTGGTTACGTTCTACTGCCCAGTCCAAAGCCCGGGTTCGACGACTGATGTGCGCGTGTAACCTTTGTTCTGGTGTTCCCCGCTGTGATATTGCTGGCATGCCACTAAAAACGGCGAAAAACTATATTCATTCACTCAGCCAAGGCAATTATGGATTTGATTACGTATACGTGAGTGTACGCGTCAGATGGGCCGAATACCATGTTCTAGTTTACCAAAATGCATGGACTTCATTCTCTCATCACGGTGGTATGTTTATTTACTATGATCCTGTGTCAGACCAGACTCCGCAAGGCCAACAATAGTCTGTCTCACAGTCCCTGGACCACATTATTTTCCCTACTGCCAAGCCCTCTCTGCAGTGCTAAAGCCATAAATACAGCAAGTCTAGATTTCCTCAGGTTCTGAATCTCTGGTCTCCCTAGGGCTCCTTTGCAATATAAATGGGCTTGTTTGTTACTATAAAAATTATATATATTCAGAGACTAAGCCTTAGTCTAGGCCAACAACCCCATTAGTTAATGGACACTAATGTCATAAGCAATTATACAGGTATACATGTCGTGACCCAAGATGTTTAGTCCTTCAAGACCTTACTTGAGGTTGTGAGCGTGTGTGTGAACTGAAGACACTCAGTAGATATAGAAACTTGAAACCTGAAATCTTAGTTAACAGATATCACTTGTTCCTGGCTTCACAGGTCTCTGTCAAGTCTGCTGTGCAGAATTGCGTCCCTATTGCGAGCCACGAACTATTTGCATGTTTTCAAGTCTTTGCCAGATATATTCTATGTCATCACCATACTTGTGGGTTTCACTAAAGTATCTGTCCGAGATAAGTACACTTCGAGATGTGCTTTATCTGAAATACTGGGCCTAGATTTTCGAAGCTCTCTTAGCGCTAAGATAGTCGTAAGTTAATGTCAGTGTATGGCACTTACGACTATCTTAGCGCTACGAGAGCTTCGAAAGTCTAGGCCCTGTTTGAAGTGGCGTTTAACCAAACTTACTCACTCACTGTTTGAAGCTTTTTGGTACAGCGCGGTGGACATTACTGCACCGCAGGAAGAAGACGAACGCAACTTTCCACACTGAGTTACCAATACCATCTGACTACGATGAACATTAGACTAACAACTAGTCTCTGAAATGAACATATTTTACTGAAAAAAGTTCATAGTAAAAAAATATAAAATATAATGAAAAGGAGCCCTGAGACCTTCTTCATTTTCTGAAGCTGAGAAAATCTAGACTTGCCACATTTTCTAGACTTGTGTGGGCTTTCTTGGATATATTTGCTTCAGGGTCTGTACGAGAGACTAGATGAACATATACTTACTGATTATTTCTTTCAGATGGTGTGTGTGGCGAGTGGAGATCACTGGAGCAAGTGGTCAACGTGGAGCGCGTGCTCGCGCACGTGCGATGGAGGCGCCACCTACCAGATGAGAAAGTGCATGAGGAGTTATCGGTCTATCCAATATGATTGTACTGGGAAAAGCATCAGATACGCCACCTGTAACAACGAAGTAAGTCTGATCTGCAATCTGAGTCATGACGATAGTTCTGTCTACTCCGCCCATCTGATCTGTTACTTAATACCAAATCAAACTGCATCTGTTAATTGACATAATTAACCTGGTCCGCCAGCTAAATGTTAATGGATATTTGCGTCATTGAGACACTGCTTGGCACAGTGGATGGAGTATCTGGAGAGTGGAAGGCCTGTGGTTCGATCCCCGTCACGTCACACCATATAACGTTAGAAGATGGTAATTGTTGCTGTCTTCGGGTTAATGGCTGACTGACTGACTGATACGCCGCTTTTAGCAATATTCCAGCAACATCACGGCAGGGGACACCAGAAATGGGCTTTATGCCCAATTGTCTTCGGCGTGACGAGCCAACGCATTAACCATTAGGCTACCCCCACCGCCCCTCGGATTAATGGGATTATACAAGGAGTGATGTGTCTGGATGTAGTAGGCGCTGCGTGGGTTAGTATGTTAATACGGAGGGGCGGTGGGGTAGCCTAGTGGTTAAAGGGGTTGGCCGAAGACCCGGGTTCGATTCCCCACATGGTACAATGTGTGAAGCCGCAATATTGCTGGAAAATTGCTAAAAGCGGCGTAAAACCTTACTCACTCACTCACTCACTTATGTTAATACAGTGGCATGTTTTGTCAGCGATTGCAAATAGACACACACACACACACACACACACACACGTTCATGCAATGCTCTATTTAAGTGTGTGTATGTTCCCCTGACCATGGTGTCCTGGTCAGTACTTGTTACTTGTTGCTTCTCCTGCTGTTAAAGCCCTGCATCACTTTGTGATTACATTCAGATAACGCTGGGGGAGAGATTGACTGACAGTTGGCATACTGATAGAGTCTCTGTCCCAGACTCCGACGTCCTCAGTATTCAGCATCATTAAAGACTAATCAGTTCCACTCATTTCATGTACCATTTACCCAACAAACGAACATGTTGTATAAGGTGTACTATCTCCGCTGTGCTGGCGCCGTGGGGACGATGATCAGTAATCCCTCCCTTCTTATCCTGGCTATCAGCCGGTCATGCTGTCCATCAGTACCCACTGACCTCATTCCATGAACGAGACAATTTGTCCATCGCTACAATCTAGACTCAATCTCTCGGTTCAGTTATAAAGGCGATATAAGCTGCATACAGCATGTTAATAGCGTGGTAAATTATGGTAGATGATCTGTAAGATGTTCAACAAATGAGACTGTTGATATATACACGAACGGAATCACTATGTAGGCAAATGAGCTTGCAAATAGTTGGGGAGTCAGACAAGAAGGACAAACAGGATGCCCAATGATTTCGCTGATCGAGTCAATCAACGTGTATCTGGACTCGAAACATTTGCAGGGATCTTAAAGGATGTAACAAACTGGGTTGTTTCAGTCGATATCTTAGGGACTCGACTTTCACTGCAAATTAACTTTCCATATAAAAGGAAATGAGGTCACCGTAGCGATGTTCTCTCCTAATGACGATTGTTAAGCAGTTACGGTCAGATGTATATTTAGCTTACCTTCTGTGGAGAAATGGAACAGCACGCATAGATAATCATTCATTCATCGATTATTGACAATTTATTACATTATGGAGAGTCCCTGTTTATAAATTCCTTGTGTTCCCCGCTGTGATATTGCTGGAATATTGCTAAAAGCGGCGTAAAACCATACTCACCCACATATAAAGTATTCTCAGGGCAAATACAGCTAGTTCTTAGTACGTCAAAACTACGATCAAAATTTCGATCCATTGAAATCTGACTCTTTCAGCCGTGTGCACCAGGCTCGCTTGACTTTCGAGAACAACAGTGCGCGGCTTACAACGACGAGAGTTACGGTGGCAAGTTCTACCGATGGCACCCTTATACAGACCGGAAAAACCCATGCGCCCTCTACTGTGTAGCATCAGGGCCGAGAACTCTCGCCCTACTTGCACCCAAAGTTTTAGACGGAACGAGATGCAGAGACAAAGCGCTGGACATGTGCATCAATGGCACGTGCATGGTAGGTTGGCGGATAAAGATTCTGACAGTCACCTTTAAATAATATAAATCAAGCATTCTTTATTGATAGTCATCTGCTTACACATTTGATATAAATAGCCTCCCGAGTCCGTCATAACGGTTCTTATGATGATTACACAATGCCATTTAGAAAGTGGTCAAATGTAACATATGTTATATTTGGGATTACACTTTCTTAGTAAAGTACAAATTAGTCCTTTCATTTTTTTCTCTTTTTTCGAGTTGAGTCCCATCCGGGATTCGAAACCACACCTTCAGAGTCAGGCACCTAATCGCCAGCACACAAAGTCAGCCGCTTAACCCGCTCAGCCACGGCGACTTCCACAAAAATGGAAGTCGGACAAATGGTAGACTTTGTGTACCCCTCTGATAAGTGTTAACTGGCACGGCTCCCACGACCGAAAGCTATGATTACTTAATGCCGTTTAGAAAGTGTTTAAATATAACATATGTTGCGGTTCTTATGATACTTACACAGAGGCCCTAATCGTCTAAGGCACCGCAATGCTCTGCGCAGAGTTTCGTCACTTGGACGAGCCAGGAACCAATGATTTTGCTCCTAGGTTTATAGCAGACCTGTGCTCGTTGGTTTTCTCCACCACTTCGGGTTTATCTTCAACACGAAGCTGACACGCAATGATATCACATAATATTTTTTTTAAGCAGAGTTACATCGAGCCCACTTGCTCACACAGTTAAATACCTTCGCGGGTGTATATTGAAGGGTTGCTTATTTGTGATGATACAGAGTGATTCAGAGTGATACAGAGTGATACAGAGATACCAAGCATAATGACGTCACTAAGGGGTGTCCGCGGATCATTTCTTTCGAGTCGTGAAATGGTCAACACTGATCCCTTCATGCAATGGCCAACTGATAATTCAGGGTTACCAATATACATCTGTTTCTGTTTCAGTCAGTTGGATGCGACCACAGACTTGGTTCGAACCAGCGTTTTGACTTGTGCGGCGTGTGCGGCGGCGGTAATGCGTGTCTGAACGCTAAGGGGATGTTCCACTGGGTGGAGGCGGGTCTCTCTCATTGCTCCGCCTCCTGTGGTGTAGGTAACACACTCCTCTCGTCTTATATTACACTATATATCCTTATCACTGATTGGTTGACACTATGTTTTAGGGCGGGTCTCTCTCATTGCTCCGCCTCCTGTGGTGTAGGTAACACACTCCTCTCGTCTTATATTACACTATATATCCTTATCACTGATTGGTTGACACTATGTTTTAGGGCGGTCTCTCTCATTGCTCCGCCTCCTGTGGTGTAGGTAACACACTCCTCTCGTCTTATATTACACTATATATCCTTATCACTGATTGGTTAGCACATGTTTTAGGGCGGGTCTCTCTCATTGCTCCGCCTTGGTGTAGGGTCTTATATTACACTATATATCCTTATCACTGATTGGTTGACACTATGTTTTAGGGCGGGTCCTCTCATTGCTCCGCCTCCTGTGGTGTAGGTAACACACTCCTCTCGTCTTATATTACACTATATATCCTTATCACTGATTGGTTGACACTATGTTTTGGGTCGTGTCTCTCTCATTGCTCCGCCTCCTGTGGTGTAGGTAACACACTCCTCTCGTCCTATATTCCACTATATATCCTTATCACTGATTGGTTGACACAATGTTTTGGGTCGTGTCTCTCTCATTGCTCCGCCTCCTGTGGTGTAGGTAACACACTCTCTCGTCTTATATTCCACTATATATCCTTATCACTGATTGGTTGACACTATGTTTTGGGTCGTGTCTCTCTCATTGCTCCGCCTCCTGTGGTGTAGGTAACACACTCCTCTCGTCTTATATTCCACTATATATCCTTATCACTGATTGGTTGACACTATGTTTTAGGGCGGGTCTCTCTTATTGCTCCGCCTCCTGTGGTGTAGGTAACACACTCCTCTCGTCTTATATTCCACTATATATCCTTATCACTGATTGGTTGACACTATGTTTTGGGTCGTGTCTCTCTCATTGCTCCGCCTCCTGTGGTGTAGGTAACACACTCCTCTCGTCTTATATTCCACTATATATCCTTATCACTGATTGGTTGACACTATGTTTTAGGGCGGGTCTCTCTTATTGCTCCGCCTCCTGTGGTGTAGGTAACACACTCCTCTCGTCTTATATTACACTATATATCCTTATCACTGATTGGTTGACACTATGTTTTAGGGCGGGTCTCTCTTATTGCTCCGCCTCCTGTGGTGTAGGTAACACACTCCTCTCGTCTTATATTACACTATATATCCTTATCACTGATTGGTTGACACTATGTTTTAGGGCGGGTCTCTCTTATTGCTCCGCCTCCTGTGGTGTAGGTAACACACTCCTCTCGTCTTATATTACACTATATATCCTTATCACTGATTGGTTGACACACTATGTTTTAGGGCGGGTCTCTCTTATTGCTCCGCCTCCTGTGGTGTAGGTAACACACTCCTCTCGTCTTATATTACACTATATATCCTTATCACTGATTGGTTGACACTATGTTTTAGGGCGGGTCTCTCTTATTGCTCCGCCTCCTGTGGTGTAGGTAACACACTCCTCTCGTCTTATATTACACTATATATCCTTATCACTGATTGGTTGACACTATGTTTTAGGGCGGGTCTCTCTTATTGCTCCGCCTCCTGTGGTGTAGGTAACACACACTCCTCTCGTCCTATATTCCACTATATATCCTTATCACTGATTGGTTGACACTATATGTTTTAGGGCGGGTCTCTCTTATTGCTCCGCCTCCTGTGGTGTAGGTAACACACTCCTCTCGTCCTATATTCCACTATATATCCTTATCACTGATTGGTTGAGCACTATGTTTTAGGGCGGGTCTCTCTCATTGCTCCGCCTCCTGTGGTGTAGGTAACACACTCCTCTCGTCCTATATTCCACTATATATCCTTATCACTGATTGGTTGACACTATGTTTTAGGGCGGGTCTCTCTTATTGCTCCGCCTCCTGTGGTGTAGGTAACACACTCCTCTCGTCTTATATTCCACTATATATCCTTATCACTGATTGGTTGACACTATGTTTTAGGGCGGGTCTCTCTCATTGCTCCGCCTCCTGTGGTGTAGGTAACACACTCCTCTCGTCTTATATTACACTATATATCCTTATCACTGATTGGTTGACACTATGTTTTAGGGCGGGTCTCTCTTATTGCTCCGCCTCCTGTGGTGTAGGTAACACACCTCCTCTCGTCTTATATTACACTATATATCCTTATCACTGATTGGTTGACACTATGTTTTAGGGCGGGTCTCTCATTGTCCGCCTCCTGTGGTGTAGGTAACACACTCCTCTCGTCTTATATTCCACTATATATCCTTATCACTGATTGGTTGACACTATGTTTTAGGGCGGGTCTCTCTCATTGCTCCGCCTCCTGTGGTGTAGGTAACACACTCCCTCTATTGTCCGCCTCCTGTGGTGTAGGTAACACACTCCTCTCATCCTATATTACACTATATATCCTTATCACTGATTGGTTAGCACTATGTTTTAGGGCGGGTCTCTCTTATTGCTCCGCCTCCTGTGGTGTAGGTAACACACTCCTCTCGTCTTATATTCCACTATATATCCTTATCACTGATTGGTTAGCACTATGTTTTAGGGCGGGTCTCTCTCATTGCTCCGCCTCCTGTGGTGTAGGTAACACACTCCTCTCGTCTTATATTCCACTATATATCCTTATCACTGATTGGTTGACACTATGTTTTAGGGCGGGTCTCTCTTATTGCTCCGCCTCCTGTGGTGTAGGTAACACACTCCTCTCGTCTTATATTACACTATATATCCTTATCACTGATTGGTTGACACTATGTTTTAGGGCGGGTCTCTCTCATTGCTCCGCCTCCTGTGGTGTAGGTAACACACTCCTCTCGTCTTATATTCCACTATATATCCTTATCACTGATTGGTTGACACTATGTTTTAGGGCGGGCCTCTCTCATTGCTCCGCCTCCTGTGGTGTAGGTAACACACTCCTCTCATCCTATATTCCACTATATATCCTTATCACTGATTGGTTAACACTATATTGAGGGGCGGGTTACTCTTTTTCGTCCCACAATACAAATGTTACACTCCTTTTTTCATTACATTACGTCATATACCATTACCCCGGAAAACCCGTGGTGGTTGCCACCCCCACCCCTTACGGTGTAGTACCTCAATCCCCCACCCCTCATACTTCAATATGGCACGTATATTCCAGCTTTAACACTGACTCTGAAGGAAGAACTCGAGTTGAAAGTGTGATCACCTGTCCACGTCGTCACACATTGTGACGACCACATTCGAATTTTAGTTTCTACTTAACCTGGTCGATCTGTCCTATCCTTGACACCCCAACGGGGTGTTGGTTAGGGTAGGTTAGGGACATAAAGCAGGGTTATAGCATTCCGGTATAAGAATGTATGCATTAATTTCAGGAGCATATTAATCTTAGAAACTACTACCATATTTTTCCATCAAACGAAGTAGGTGTCAATCGTGCATGTTTTATTCGAAATTGCCAGCTTGTGGTTAGCATGCGGTTTCAAAGAAGGTTTAGAACATTCATTTATCGTTATCTTGAAAATCCGACTCTGCCAAAGTTAATCCAATATATTACACGACATCTAGAACATATTGCCCTTTAGTATATGGCTAGAAGGAAGTATGGAGATTAGTGTCAAAGAGAGGAGAAAGCCTATGTATGTGTATGGGATATACAGGCATGTATACTATTATAGGAACGTGGGGTCAGAGACTCATGCCGAGATGTTTAATGCATGAACTTGACCAAAACACGAGTTTATGATGCATGTTTACAGCCCATTAAATCAGAATTATAGCGACAGTTTACGAGGTGTAAGGATTTAGATGGTGAATGCTTCCTTGTCAACACTATTTACCTATGCTTGAAGTGCTGAGACCTTCTGTGATACCTGGGTACTTTACGGCGCGACGTGTGTGCTTTGCAATCATTATGTTCTTACATGGAGGGAACTATAAACCTTTTCATCCAATATATCTGACTGTACTATAGAGGAATATGTTCACCTGCAGCAGCCTGGAGTGTTAACACTGTCGACGGCCGTGTCACAATCTTTGTACCTGGATGATGAATGTGCGGTCTTGTGAAGGCGTTCACACGACCTTTGACCTTAATTGCACGTAGTGCATACCAGCGGTGTTCTACAGCACATATGTAAACAGGGGGATTCGCCCTCCAGTCCCCCGTCCTTACAGGTATACGTCAAGTCTGTATCTTTCCGTCTTGCTGTGTACTGAGAGGACACTGTTCGTGTTTAAGTCAACACGCTAATGTAGTAAAATGGTTCTGGTGATGTTTAAGTGTAGGTAAATCAACTAGAAATCCGAGTTCAAAAGTTGTACAAACGTAGATACCTGGTTGGAATTCTACCTGGTTAATTAACCTTGATCTCCAGCGTGTTAACACTATGGCTATAGAACAGCTGTCTCCACACATACTGAAGTATTTGGTGGTAGGAACTTATAGAGATCGCATATTGTATCAGAACAGGTCCATCCCAAACTGCATCCACACCCTCCCAACACATCACCCTCCATAATGAAGTTACATGTTGAAAGAGCTGCGAGAACTGGTATGGGATCTGCCGCATATACACAAATGTATCAATCTCACAGCTGAGGGAAAGTTTGTCACATCAATTTTTATTTGTTTATGCATTCTTTGAAACAATACTATTGATACTCTGATATCAAAATGGTGCGTTCGTCCCTGACTTTGGAAGAACAAAGAATAAATTTCTAGTGGCCTCAATCCTATGACATGAACCGTTCTATTTCTGCGACGATTTTCCCAGGAATTATTTGTGCCTGCGTGGCAATGTGTTACACTGTAGATGCTTGTGTGCATTAAGGTTGTTGTGTGGGGACCAGCATCCGCATCCATCACACAAAGGGTATCCAGGTGCATAGGCGGATCCAGAGTGGGGGTAGGTGCGAACACACACACACACCTTTTGTGCACACAGTTTGTTAAACACCCCATTGAAACTCGGGTTAAATGAAATTGACACTCCTGTCCAATAGTGTGCACCCCTCCCTTTCTCAAAAGCTGTATCCGCCCTGGGGTGTATGGTGTATTACACCTGTCCTAGGAGCCCCAAGATCATGGACGATTACAGAGACTCCAGCAAGTCTCTCACACTCATGATATCCACCCACCTGTCCATAAATCCATACATGCAATCATACACTAACCTCACATCTACCCATCCCTCGAACCATCCATTAACTCATATATGAATGGATGAACGCACCCACCCACAACCTTCCCACGTACACACGCTGTTACGCACGCACACACACCCATACATTCACACATCTGTTTCAGTAGAAATTAGTACATCAATCGCTAGATACGTAGTACTACTGACTCTTTTCAAAAATGAAATACTTTTGTAGCCAAATAAGTACAAGAATATCATATTTACTCTGATTATATCAATGTTTGTTCCTACTATTGGCCATGTTTTATAGTCGAATGTCACATAGCTAAATGTTGTTGACTGGAGTAATAGACGTCGTTCTGAAGTGGAGGGAAGATTTAGTTCCAACACATAAGTCCGACAGAGACTTTCTTTTCTCTTGTTTACACATATTATTTTGGTATTGTTTTTGTTTGTTTTTTATTGGGTGGACTATGAAGGTACAAACACTCGTGTTAAATAAGTACGCGCGTCTGATAAATCAAAGTCAGTTTCGGCTCTGCTGCTTCAATCCCACACAAGATCAATCGTTTTGTTACGGTTCAGACATCATTAGCGGGTCGACCTCTTAATTAAAGCTCTTGCAGGATGTCAGTAGGAAGATATTATCAATGAAAGTTTCATATGTTCCAGAGCCAATGGTCTGTTGAATTGATCTGAAGGGTTGTGGTTAGTGGTGAGATTATCTGCACAACTAATCAATGCCTGTTTACTTTCAACCTGGATGTGCCGTGTCTGTTTTAAGTGTGGAGGATATATTTGACGGAGGTGTTGCAGGTTAATTGCGACCAGTGATGAGTTTAACTCTAACCCACATCTTCAGCCTCAGTATCCTTTACTTAAGCAGCTCTGATTTACCAATGATGTTTATGTCGTTGGCTCAGAATTCCCCTCGTCCATAGCAGCTGTTGCGGATGTATGCTACTCAAAATAAGTTAAGGAATACGTGATTCTTTCATAATACAATAGGGCGGTGGGGTAGCCTAGTGGTTAAAGCGTTCGCTCGTCAAGCCGAAGACCCGGGTTCGATTCCCCACATGGGTACAATGTGTGAAGCCCTTTTCTGGTTACCCCCGCCGTGATATTGCTGGAATATTGCTAAAAGCGGCGTTATACCATACTCAATCACTCACTCACTCACTCATATATAGTTAATTTGTAATGTCAACAAAGATAAAATATGGTTACATCAAAAACAATCGAATAAGTCCTTCTCTCGTGTATTATATATACCGCGTATTGCCATTGATGGGACGTTACTCATATGTTTTCACTGTAATACAGAACGGAATAAAATAGGCGTAAGAATACAAAATGCAGAACAAACATTTTAGCTTTAATAGAGTATTTACATCCTTAGGGATATCTATAGTATTGTGAATAATTGAAGTGTTGAAAGTTGATTGTCCAGTAAATTATGTCAATTTGCTACATTGTACAGAACAATACTACACATATTGGCTAATGTCTTTCATAATTTTTCTTACTTTTTACTTTTAATAGCACCGTGTAATCATTGGAATAACCTATTCAAACCTTGGACACATAGTACTCCATAAGCGTTGGTTATTCTATATAATAAATAAGGTTTATAACTGGTTCCAGTCCTTTACAAATTTCAGTACAGTGGAAGTCCTCTAAACCGGAATTCGTTGGGACCGGCAAAACAATGCCGATATAGCGTACGTGCCGGTTTAGAGAACTTTTCCCTTTTCAACCTGAGAATGATCTTCCGTGTGCCGTACAATACGAATGAACAACGTGTTGATAGTCATCATATTCTTTATTCATCAATAAAGATAACATCCAGATTAGAGGGCGTGGAAATTATCATAAATTAACTAGCTTCTGCCGGGACCAAATTCTAGTGCCGATATTGAGAGCATGCCGGATTGGAGGGCTACCGGTTTAGAGGGCTTCAACTGTATTCTGCCTACCACAAGAACTCCAAGAAAATTAATGCTTTATCCAGAGACCTGTTACCTTCAATCCCCTTGATCTATGTCAGGCTGTCAACACACTCTCTCACATGTAGGCCTATGGGCGTTCTGTCCCTCTCCGTCACACGGCATCACATACAGCGCTGTCGTCGGAGATGCACGACTTGGCGTGATTAATAAACATGGGTGACACCCAGCACACTCCTCCTGCACATCTGCCTTGATCTTTTGTGTGAGGATTACTCATCTACGTTACAAACTGGAATGTTTACATGTCCGGCAGGAATTGGGTTAGAGCTTCAAACGACCACCGAAACACCTGCACCCGTTCCACAAAGCGGCCCTTAGCTACGACAGTCGTAGGTCGATATTAATGAATGACATGTAAACCGTCTGTCTTATGACTACGATCGTATTGTAGTAGATGAATAGGTTGCACATTCTTTATGATGTTTTATACCCGTGGAGATTCATTTTAGAACTGGGGTTGGCGGGGTAGCCTAGAGGTTAAAGCGTTTGCTTCTCATCCCTAAGACCCGGGTTCGATTTCCCATATGGGTACAATGTGTGAAGCCCTTTTCTGGTGTCCCCGCCGTGATATTGCTGGAATATAGCTAATAGTGGCGTAAAAACATACTCATTCACTCACTCCCAATGTACTATTCTAGTGATTACCTTCACATTCGCCAGGTCTGTCATTTTAGAATCGGCCCCAGCACCCGTTACTTGTCTTAAGAGGTGACATAATGTAACAGAATGTCGTTGTACAAAACAGCTTAAGCCCTACGACTGTCGTAAGTCTATGTTAAGGTGTGAGAGATACGATCACCTCAGCCCTAGGAATGTCGTAAGTCTATGTTAAGGTGTGAGAATTACGATCTCCTCAGCCCTACGACTGTCGTAAGTCTATGTTAAGGTGTGAGAGATACGATCACCTCAGCCCTAGGACTGTCGTAAGTCTATGTTAAGGTGTGAGAGATACGATCTCCTCAGCCCTACGACTGTCGTAAGTCTATGTTAAGGTGTGAGAGATACGATCACCTCAGCCCTACGACTGTCGTAAGTCTATGTTAAGGTGTGAGAGATACGATCACCTCAGCCCTACGACTGTCGTAAGTCTATGTTAAGGTGTGAGAGATACGATCTCCTCAGCCCTACGACTGTCGTAGGTCTATGTTAAGGTGTGAGAGATACGATCACCTCAGTCCTACGACTGTCGTAAGTCTATGTTAAGGTGTGAGAGATACGATCACCTCAGCCCTACGACTGTCGTAAGTCTATGTTAAGATGTGGAGATACGATCATCTCAGCCCTCCGACTGTCGTAAGTCTATGTTAAGGTGTGAGAGATACGATCACCTCAGCCCTACGACTGTCGTAAGTCTATGTTAAGGTGTGAGAGATACGATCACCTCAGCCCTACGACTGTCGTAAGTCTATGTTAAGGTGTGAGAGATACGATCAACTCAGCCCTACGACTGTCGTAAGTCTATGTTAAGGTGTGAGAGATACGATCACCTCAGCCCTACGACTGTCGTAAGTCTATGTTAAGGTGTGAGAGATACGATCACCTCAGCCCTACGACTGTCGTAAGTCTATGTTAAGGTGTGAGAGATACGATCACCTCAGCGGTGTGATTGCTTTGCGCAGTGTGTACCCTTGTTACCTGGCTCGGAGACTCGTTTCATCGTAAACCGACGGAATGGATGCTTGCCCATTGTATCAATCATATGTTCTTGAAATCAAGTCTGGGTTTTGTGTTCATGCAGGTATCGTGAGCTCTGTGTTCAAGTGCCGAGATCGAAACACGCACAAGAACGTCAAGGATTTCAAGTGCCAACACAGAAGCAAGCCGTCTGGAAGGATGAAGAAATGTTTTACCAGAAAATGCCCCCCATCGTAAGTCAGTGCGAGATAGTATAGTCATAACATTTTGTCCGTCACCTATCTGATTGTTTGTAACATTTTCCGAAATTACAACCAGAAACTTATTTGTTTTAGGAATACTGAAGTTTGTGGAAATTTAGTTTGATAATGTGTATGTACTTCAATTAGGAACGACGCTTCGGTGTAGGTTGTAACACCGTCATCAAGCAAGGGCAACGTGTTGGTGTAGGTTTTAAACCCGTTCTCAAGCATGTGTTAGAACCTACACGCTACGTTCTCCTAGCTCTAACAAACACGATTTTCATCCATACATCTTATCCTTACTTAGTACTATAATGGTAACTTTTTTCTTGCCCGCTAAAGAAGTTATGCATGGAAACTAATTTTTTTAAAACTTATGGCCCAATTCTGATGTAAGCTGTCGTAATACTGCGTAACTGTTGCTAAAGTCGGCATAGGACCGATGTCTTCCAATAACGTGTAACGCTATGTTGTATTTCCCCTTCTAGATGGAAGATTCCCCCCTGGAGCACGTGCAGTCACACGTGCGGGGGAGGGTTCGAGTTCCGCGATGTCCGGTGCATGGACAGGATGACCAGTGGGCAGCTGGAGCGCGTGGAGGACCGCTTCTGTGCTGGATCGAAGCCGTCTACGTCCAAGCCTTGCAATACCTTCATCTGCCCCAAGTGGTATGCGGGTGAGTGGTCTCCGGTAGGTAGCACCCCGCAACTGACTATACATGTATACTCCAGCATCTGACCAAATATGTGTACTGTATAGAATCTCTCGCAGACTTACGCCACGACGTACCTGACGATACATGTAGATATACTCTTTAGAGATCTATCTATGACTAACATCACCACATCTTTAATTGTACATTTTATGATAGTATAATATACTTCGCTGACCTGCTCTGGCCTCAGTCTGTTTTATATAAACGATATAGGCAATACATGTGTTGGCTGTTTATTCAAAACGTCATCATGACGTCACATGTGACGTCACTGGAGACTAAGACATCTCCTGGTTCCTATTACAGTGCAGTGTGACGTGTGGGTGGGGCTACCAGTACAGGGAGGTGGTCTGTCGTCATGAGGGGGACACCTTCTGTAACCATACCAACAGACCACTCACAAGGAAGAACTGCACTACCAACTTCCCATGCTTCGATTCAAGTGGTAAGTTATGAGGGTAGAGATGGAGCGGAACGTTGAGACGATAGTTTTGGGTAATGTGAGTTTTCGGAAAGCATGTTGTGAAAGAGAAAGAGGGGACGAATGCAAGCAAGTGAAAATGGACTTATACAAGGTTAGATATGTTGTGAGAGGGTTTATATGAACGGACAAGATGGACATATCTTCTGGAATTGACTGGGAAAAGAAATACCATCGGATGGGAAGGAAGATATATGGAGGGTGGGGGTTGGGGTGGTGAGGAGACTTAATTGGGGGAGGGATAATGGACTCTGAAAAGAACATTATTTCAAAGGAGGAAGGTAAATTTGAAGATTACCATTGCAATTGAAGATTGGAGGAACAAGGAATTAGGAGGAAGGGTGGATTTTGGTGAGGAAAGACTATCTTTGACAAGGAAGATGGACTTAATAGAGGAATTTCGATTTGGCGAGGGAACAGAGATTATGGAAAGGGCAGAAATTGATTGAGGGAGAGGATGTTGGGAGGGAATATGGATTTGGTAAATTAAAATGAATGTATGGGAGAGGAGACGGATTCAGGCACGAAATATATTCTTGGGAAAGAAAGATGGATTTGGTTAGTGAACAGTACCTTGATAGAGGGGAGAAAAATTTAGGTGGGAGACGATGTTAGCAAGTATCAGCTACGTGTAGAGCTGACGGCCATGTTGAGATCGGTGTTGTATATACAAACATTGACTGTATCATCTTGTGGTAACGATGTCCTATTCATATTCCAGATCGTCACTATGTCGCAGAGCACGATGAAAACGGTATGTCATATATTTTTGTCAAACACAGTTGAACCACAGTACAAACTAGATATCCTTTTACATATCAATAGCGGATGATTTATGACAGGGCTCAACAAACGTGTTGAGAATCACATACCACGGCATTCTAACTGTGTCAACAACATGCACACGACTGCCAGGTAACATATTAAAATCTCTTGTTGGCTTAGACCGTGTAGTAATAAAACAGGGTACAGGAATTTCAATTTGCTAGCATCGACAAGTGTTGGTGACAGAACGGGAGGGCTTCACCCCGCTAACAAACATTCCCGTATGCTTGATAAACGCTGAATGGGCTGTTCTGTGTTAGGGCAACATCTCCAGTATCCTACATCTCTACGTGTAACCTGTTTAGATTGGCTCTGGGTCACGACGTTACGGCTCGGAATGTGATGAAAACTTTTATACATAAACGTCAGGCGGTTATAAATTGTTAATGCATAATAATAAACAGTAGGTCTATCAAACAAAGTTAGACGTCATACAGCGGTAAAAACTTGCGTATGGAAGCATTATTGCCGCATCCATGTTGGATTTTGTCAGTCGGGTCGACGTATTGCGCTGCAAGGCGGTGTATACAGACGGAGTGTGCTGTAGCAAGCCAAACACTTCAGTCCGCATCCTCCAGCCACATCAGATCATGTTGCATTGCGCATATTGTTTACGCATTTTCCCACAAAGTGTTAAGTCGTGAAGAGTACAATGACCCTCATAGGTTCACTGTTGAACTAGACTGGTCATCTGTCAAGGTGCAATGGTTTCTATGCGTTCAGAGGACCACGTGTCCTGGTTCTACGGACAGCTTCATCACCAAGCGACTCATCAGATGCAGGCCGCTGCCCTGTATTTACCCTGACAGTCAACATATCTCTTTATACAGTGGAAACGGTTTTAAACATGCTGCACGCTGGCTATTCCCGCTGCACAAAGGACGAGCATGTTTGCGGAAGTTCACATTGTAACTTTAAAGATGGACAGCGTGTTGGATCTGTGCTAAACCGAATAGTTACAAACGTTGTAGGGTTTGAGTACCGCTGTCTGGGCAGTTGTTGATGTTGCAACAATGTTGTGTGCACTCTATATGGTCGTCGTAGTGAGGCTGCTGATGTTATGTGTTGTAGGCGGGGTACAGGAGTCGTCGCTGGGGGAGCTCAGACAGGCGAAGACCAAGGATCGGAACCCGGATGCAGAGTTCATGGTCATACACGAGGATGAGGTGAAGGACCATGATATGAGCTCACCAAGGTAAGAGACTTAGGTCAAGGTCAACTAGGTATATATTCACGGTACAATAGACACCAAGAAAACTGTCACCTTTCGTACCGCTTGATAATGTGTATATCATGGATATACTGAATATATTGTGAGCATATGTGAGACCATTCCACGGACAGCTTGACGGTACCTGTTATCATAATGTCAACATCTGACCGTGTTCTGTCAATCCTGTCAGTGTTGTCAAACAGGTCGTGGTGTTTATAGTTGCCTCCAGCACAGTGTGCTGTTGCAAGGATTCCGTCCAGAGGAAAGCAACAACACTCTGTCGTGTCTATTCCCGATCTACCGAATTACTTCATTAGGCCAGCATTCCTACACGATGTAGTTCATTAGATGAATAATAGTCTAATTAGTCTGATGGAACGAGGATCTGTGAACACGCTGCTGTGAATTCCTACCATTCTTCTGTGTATCATGTTGAATACCTTCCTCTAATCTTCACGTCGGGTCCAGTTCCAGAATGTTTTGATTCACAATAACGAACATATCTGTCAAAAATCACCAATGAAGTTATGATCCGTTCTGTTTTAAAACGGGTTAGTTAAACTTGTGCTTGTGTGCCTGCTGTAATTGAGGGTTAAGTGGTTTGATTGGCCAGTATAAATATACTCGCGCTCCGTACATCATCATCAGTGATTAACACACAGACACAGCAGATGGGGAAGCGCACGTCGCTGTTTCGTGTTCCCTCTCAGAGGATTCATCTCGCAAGATCTTCGAACAGTTTTTATTAAAGGTTTCCCCAGATCTAATGAAACCATTTAATCATCTCCTTCTTACCTGAGATGGACCTCGAGTCAGATAACGACGTGGCTTGTTGCAGTCGCGTGTAGTCTGGTCGTTATCACACCTGGCAAGTGACGACATACCTGACTTGAAAAACGCTGCTTGGTCCGAAAACTTGTTGCCGGAAGAAAGAATTCTCTCAGACATGATTGATGGAGCTCGTTGTTTCGCGGGGTCATTTTCTTGTGTTGATTTGAAAGTTCAGGGGGAGACTTTAATCTCAATTACGGCTTTGAAAAAGGACACATTATCTGGTTGACAAGCGATGGAAGTATTCTGTTGACACGATGCACCAGAATTCTTTGGGTTGTAATCTGGTTTGTTTGTGAAGGAGACGATATTAAAACTTTTCTTTGAGCAATAGTTGTATAGGAACTTATCATCATATTGTGTCTATTGGAATGACAGGCGGTTATGAAATGGAAAATTCCATAAGCATGTGAAATAATAGAACATAGGGAAAGAACGCCATATGTTTTACCGATCTGTGCACACAAAATGCTATTCACAAGACTGTATAACAAAAGGGATAAATTCACCTTTCCCTTTTTATGTAGTTCAGCATTCCAAAGAGTGCTGAAAATGTTTGAGCAAGATTATACCATTTAATGCCTCGGCAAAGATTTCAGGAAGTTGTGAGGTTGACACGTGAAGAACAGTTCCAAGCTGGGCCCATCAGTGACAAAATGATGTCAGAATCAATTTCCTAGTTTGACTTCTATGTTATACTCTTCAAAAAAGAAGGAAGACTTCATTTTTAATTTACGATCGGAAACATTTGGGAGATATATCGGAGTCAATCAATGTTGATATGATAATAATGAATGTTTTGAGGGTGCATCACCACTTGCACTTCCTTATGACCGTAGTTGTTTGTACAGTAATCGCTCTTGAAAGTTGATTGGTGTATGACGTGAAATTTGCATGTGTGCGATTTTCATTTTCAAACAACAATTTTCATTTTCAAACAACAAAGAAACGGATAGAAACAAACGCTGACAACTGTGTGATGCAAGATGATTGTCAAAATAAATAGTCTACAGTGATTTAAAGACCTGTCTGTCTTTGAAAAGTTTGTCAACGCTTATACTTCCTATCCAAATTGAAAGTTCAGGTTCCCCTACATTTTTTTAAGAGTATATGTTCCGGTGTTGTGGTTTTCTCCGGTGACCATGTGACTTGGCTTTGCATGTGTTTGTGATGGGTATAACAGATGGGGCAGGTCGCCTTTAGGTAAAACTCCATGGGATAGCGATTCATAAACACATACTTTGGATACAATCAGAATATTACATTGGTCATTTCTTTAAGCAGTAAAGCTCTTGTTTCGCACGACGGGTTGTTTTCGATGGCCCAACGTAACGACAAACCGAAAGATGAGTCTCATTAACCAATTCAGACAATGACCTACTTTTCAGCCGATCCGAATTTTCTCGTCTTAAAGCGAAAAGAGACAAGACAAACAACTATGGTTACACTGAAATCCAATTCCTTGTTTCATAAGAAAATGGTATTTACAAATTAATTTTAATTTTAAAGTTTAAAAAAATCGTATTTCTATATTTTATGTCGAGGTTTAGGCAGCATGTCGTTAACTAAGACGTCACAGACTGCCCCTGTTTGAAGAGGTGGTACAATGATTCACAATTCATCTGGCTCACTGGTAACACCTGTTATGCGTCCTTTGCGCTAATTTAGTGTATTTTTGTAACGTACAATGTGACTGATATAATATCAAGTCCGTACCAGACCGCCCAACTTTTCTAGCGGCCCAGCCTCGTTTTGAGATTTCCACGATTTCCAGATTTCCGTTTGTCAGAGCACGCCGTACGACAGAGCACGCTGCAATCCGTGTTTCCAAGGATTATAAGGAGCGTAGTGTTGCAATATACAGGTGATTAAATGTATCAAATAATACTGATCAATATTAATATATACAGTTGAATGAGTTGGTCTCAAAGTTCTGGACTGGTTATTGTACTAAGTTGCGCAATAGGACGGGACCCAGTCAGCAGGAAACGAGACTGTTGTCTAATCTATGTTTTGACTTGGATGATTGCGTTCTATCGCCAGGTTCGTGGTGTCGAGCTGGGGACCGTGCAGCAGCACCTGTGGCCCCGGGACAAGGAGGAGGTACGTGCGGTGCCAAGTCTACCTGGTCTACCTCCAGGACATCACAGACCTGGCAGACAGCGAATGTGAAGGTAATCACTAGAATAGTCCATTGGGAGTGAGTGAGTGAGTATGGTATTATGCCGCCTTTGCCAATATCTCAGCAATATCACGGCGGGGGACACCGGAAATGGGCTCGTCACATTGTACCCATGCGGGGAATCGAACCCGGGTCTTCGGCGTGACCAGCGAACGCTTTAACCACTAGGCTACCCCACCACTACCTAAGTGACCATTGTGTACATGAACTACAGAGAAACGACACTAACAACACGAGTTCGACTGGTGATTACAGTATATAAGAGAGTTATTTATTATCATTCATTGCCATTCTGAATTATTTTAATTCAATTTTATGAAAAAAAGTTGCATTGAAAATGAAGTCAACTTTTAGATCGCCTGAAAACGAATTGTCTTCTACGGCTGTTTTTGTGGATGTCGATTGAGCGATAATTACTCTGGAAGTGCATTAATCTTTCTTGTTCAAGGTGGCGTATACTTATCTAGTAAAACAATGTGAATGTTGTGCTAAGTCTAACAGTGCCATTAGCGCGGAATTGCGTAATGCTACCTGCATGTATGTTGCAAGAGGTATGGAACGCCCAGGTTACGGCGCCTTTGTTTTAGCTGACCACATGTATGTCATTGAACTAGAATGCATTCATATCAGATTTGTGAACATCCACGATAGCATTTATGTTAAACATGCTCTGTTTTAGATTGATGCAGATACTTTAATTTGGTTCGAGTCTGTAGTGGGTATGCATTTCCCCAAACAGAAGGTTTAGTATCTGACTGGAAACTGGTTGAGTCTAATGGTTTTGGCAGCAGTGTTTTCTGCTTGTGTGAAGACATACTTCAAACGAAACATAACGTCAAGAAATCGTGAAGCGTTTACACTTTTCAATATCCATCCATAAATGAAAACAAAACAATACAAAAGCATTAGAGGCGTGACGTAAATTTGGCAGCCAACTGTCAAAGACAGCGTAATGAACACCAAAATCATCGCACATAACGCCAGTTCTTAAGGATTTGCACTGGCTTCCCACTGAAGCGAGAATCAACTTAAAGTTCTATGTATGGTGCACAAATGTCAAAATGATATGGCACCATCATATCTCTCTAATATGCTAGTAGACTACATCTCTATAAAGACTCTTCCATCTCAAAAGATGAATCTTCTGAACATACCAAAGTATAAGTTCACCAGCTATGGACAGAAGTCCTTTAGTCATGCAGCTCCTCGACTATGGAACAAACTTCCTCTGGACATCAAACTTTCATCATAATTAACTGTATTCAAATCAAAACTCAAGGCCCGATTATTTTCAGGCTATTATTCATAGACTTTATTCACCCTATTATTCATGGACTTTAATTTATAGACATTATCTCCTGCTATTATACATAGGCCTTATTTCAGGCTATTATTCATAGGTTTTATGTCATACTATGATCTCATTATATGTGCCTTTTCTCCCATTTTATGCGCGTTGAGCATGCACCCTGTGGATGGATACAGGCCTTTATAAATACTCATTATTATTATTATTAATGTTCCTTCAATTATATGTTTTCTCCATGGTCTGGCGACTTTTCACAGTGACTGTCTATACCTACCTGCGACAAGGGCAACTGTTTTAGCAGGGGATACAATATGTAGGCCAGACTGGACAAAGGTGTCAAGGTGTGGTTAGAACATGTCCTAAGGTCCTCACGTAACGGTCATGGTGGCCAATCAGTCCTCACCCCCTTCCTGCCCTCTCCTCCTCCCTCCCTGCATCCCCAATCTGCATCCCACCATCATGCTCACCACTGCTGTAGTGACTAGTCCGTAATGGATCAAAACATTAATGGCATTCTTTCACAGAACATGAAGTGCTTTACACGATATTTGTTTGGGGCACTTGCATTTCATATTTAAAACAAATGGCAAGCTATGTGTGCAAGAACTCAACTTTGGCAAAGATATACACGATAAATCAGGTATATTGGCACCACGTGTCACATGCCTGCACGTGCATCACGAGGAGGGAAACACGACCCCGGACTCCGCAAGATTTATGTATCTAGACGTGTCTGACACGAGGATATCCCAAATTGTGAAATATTTATAAAACGAGCTCTGGCAATGCCATGGCCCCAGACAAACTGCCACTTCATATTACTCTTGGTATTTTTGATGAAGTGAAATCAGAGTGACTGAATTATGGAGCTGTACCTCACAAGAGATTGCCTGGAGCTGTACCTCACAAGAGATTGACTGGAGCTGTACCACACAAGAGATTGACTGGAGCTGTACCACACAAGAGATTGACTGGAGCTGTACCACACAAGAGATTGCCTGGAGCTGTACCACACAAGAGATTGCCTGGAGCTGTACCACACAAGAGATTGACTTGAGCTGTACCACACAAGAGATTTCCTGGAGCTGTACCACACAAGAGATTGCCTGGAGCTGTACCACACAAGAGATTGCCTGGAGCTGTACCACACAAGAGATTGCCTGGAGCTGTACCACACAAGAGATTGCCTGGAGCTGTACCACACAAGAGATTGCCTGGAGCTGTACCACACAAGAGATTGCCTGGAGCTGTACCACACAAGAGATTGCCTGGAGCTGTACCACACAAGAGATTGCCTGAGCTGTACCACACAAGAGATTACCTGGAGCTGTACCACACAAGAGATTGCCTGGAGCTGTACCACACAAGAGATTGCCTGAGCTGTACCACACAAGAGATTGCCTGGAGCTGTACCACACAAGAGATTGCCTGAGCTGTACCACTCAAGATTGCCTGGAGCTGTACCACACAAGAGATTGCCTGGAGCTGTACCACACAAAGAGATTGACTGGAGCTGTACCACACAAGAGATTGCCTGGAGCTGTACCACACAAGAGATTGCCTGGAGCTGTACCACACAAGAGATTGCCTGAGCTGTACCACACAAGAGATTGCCTGGAGCTGTACCACACAAGAGATTGCCTGGAGCTGTACCACACAAGAGATTGCCTGGAGCTGTACCACACAAGAGATTGACTGGAGCTGAGATTGCTGGAGCTGTACCACACAAGAGATTGCCTGAGCTGTACCACACAAGAGATTGCCTGGAGCTGTACCACACAAGAGATTGCCTGGAGCCACCACACAAGAGATTGCCTGGAGCTGTACCACACAAGAGATTGCCTGGAGCTGTACCACACAAGAGATTGCCTGAGCTGTACCACACAAGAGATTGCCTGGAGCTGTACCACACAAGAGATTGCCTGAGCTGTACCACACAAGAGATTGCCTGAGCTGTACCACACTGGGCTGTGCCACAAGAGATTGCCTGAGCTGTACCCACACAAGAGATTGACTGAGCTGTACCACACAAGAGATTGCCTGAGCTGTACCACACAAGAGATTGCCTGGAGCTGTATTGACAGCTGTACAAGAGATTGCCTGGAGCTGTACCACACAAGAGATTGCCTGGAGCTGTACCACACAAGAGATTGCCTGGAGCTGTACCACACAAGAGATTGCCTGGAGCTGTACCACACAAGAGATTGCCTGGAGCTGTACCAAACAAGAGATTGACTTGAGCTGTACCACACAAGAGATTGACTGGAGCTGTACCACACAAGAGATTGCCTGGAGCTGTACCACACAAGAGATTGCCTGGAGCTGTACCACACAAGAGATTGCCTGGAGCTGTACCACACAAGAGATTGACTGGAGCTGTTTAGTGTGGGGTAGACAGGAGCGGGGTGGCATCGGAGAGGAGATCGATCCTCTGAAAACATATACACAACTTTTTAAAAACATGTCTGTGGCGGCATATCGACGTCAAGGATTACCTGTGGCAATCGCCTTATATTCAGTTGTGATTTACTGTCAGGAAAGTATCATTACCTGTGCTACTGGCATATCGTTGTTGACTCTATAAGTGTTCTGTGCCTTGAGAGCTCTTGAATGACAAACAACTACTTTTTCCTCACTGTTTTAAGTAGTTGTAGATCCAACGGAGAGCTACTGAACAATCGCTGTCGTTCATATACGTGTAAGCGGCCAGGGTGGATGTTGGGGGTTGGGGGTAGGGCATATTGACTCCCAATGACAATATGTTCTTTGTTATTGAAATCCTCTACTGTATTGTCAAGTGGAATCACCGTGCAACGCTCCACGCCCGTACTGAAGATTAAACTTCATAATGCGACGCCGTCACTGAGACGAAAATTGAATAACCTGTGTAATTTGTTTCTGTGAAAAAAGACGTACTAGGTCGACACACTCTAAAAGAAATTTTCCTAACTCGATTTTGAAATATATGTTATATAGAGAGTGTTCTCGTTAAATCGCGTATCTATCAAGAATGTGTTGTGATGAAGATGCAATCCAGCATATTCAACATGTGGCTTTACTTGAAACCCACAGGATTCTGCTGTGTCACTCCCGTAATACTGGCGATCATCTGCTAAAGTTGGGGTGTAATTCCCGTGAAGCTAAACACTGTCCGAGATTGTGGCAGGTATCGGTTGTCAGTCGGCCAACAATGGTGGAGGGGAGTCGTGTGTTAACCGTGGAATCTCCCTGTGGTATCCACCACCCCCTACTGGCTGCAACAAAGCCCGACTCAGACGACACTCACCTGCTGTAGATGGTTAGAGCTTTACGTCCGTGTCTATGTGACTTAGGGCAGCATTTTCATTTTTTGTGTTTCTCATCGCCCATCCGACCCTTCTAATGTTATTGCCGACACACACACCTCCAAGAGACTCCAACTTTTTTTTTTCATTCCAACACCGCCGACTCGAACCTAAAACGTACCGACTCGTCATATAAAATGTTTATCAAATTAAAGTGTTTTAATCAGTCGCACGCCACATGTTCAGAGAAGGCGAAACACATAAAAGAATGATGCCCTTTTAGGTAGCCAGTATCCCGACCGACCGGCCCATGAACGATAAATGTATTTGGAACAAATTTGGTGGCAACTAGCCTAGTGCCGGTTGATACGCCCGACGTTTCAGGGATGAACCACAAGAAATAGCCATAATAAAAAATGATGCCCTTTCTTAGAACCACGCCGCAAGCTATCTGTTCTTGAAGAACAGAGCAGGTCTTTCTACGACATCTCGGGATGTCGTGGTGGAGCTGGAACGATAAATGACAGTTTTGGAACAACGTCCCTGTGATCCCGACAGGACTGGATCCCAAGGGGAAGCCACAGAATTGGATCCCCACCCAAGGTAAAACCACAACAGGTTTTCTGGATCCCCACCCCCATGATAACCCTATATCTGGGTAAAACCTGGATCCCCACGTGGTCCAAAATAGCGAGTCTTTCTAGATTTGGTGTAGGGGAGTAACGAGTCTTTCTGGATCCCCACCCAAGGTGTAAGGGGAAGGATCCCCACCCAAGGTGTAAGGGATGTCCACTGTAAGGGGAAGTTTCCCCACCCAAGGTGTAAGGGGAAGTCACAGGATCCCCACCCAGGATCCCCACCCAAGGTGTAAGGGGAAGTCACAGGTCTTTTGGATCTGGATCACTGTTTTTCTGATGCCACCAAGGGGAAGTCACAGTCTTTCTGGATCCCCACCCAAGGTGTAAGGGGAATCACAGATGCCCACCCAAGGTGTAAGGGGAAGTCACATGTTTTTCTGCATGCCACCCAAGGTGTAGGGGGAAGTCACAGGTCTTTCTGGATCCCACCTAAGGTGTAAGGGGAAGTCACATGCCTTTCTGATGCCCACCCAAGGTGTAAGGGGAAGTCACAGGTCTTTCTGGATCCCACCTCAAGGTGTAAGGGGAAGTCACGGGTCTTTCTGATGCCCACCCCAAGTATATAGGGATGGGACATGCAGATCCCTATTTCAGAATAAAGGGGTTGTCTCATGTTTGGTCAGAAACACATCTTGTTTATAAGAAGAAGTTGCAGATACGGCTAGCCTGTGTGTGCGATCTGACCACTAACTAGGGATGCCCCTTGTGTGTGTTGGGATACGTATGCTGTATCACCAAATAGGAAATACATAAGGTTGTTATGAACATCCTCGATTGGAAACTACCGAGCTTTTGTTCCGACAGATTCCCGTGTCTGTGGATGAGCTCTAGCCCGTCACACCCTCATGGAACCAGACTGGTTGGCATATTTCACTTGGCGTCGTCCTATATCTGCCGATGTCTTAGAATCTCACGTGTGTCTGATGTGAAGGTACAAGGTAGACGCTGAACAGTGTACTGAACCAGCACATTACACAGGTGTTGCCAAATACATGAGAGAATACCAATCTTCTACTTGCATATCCAGAGTTCCATCAAAGTATTCATGTATTATTACTTTGAAGCTATGGCCCCGTGTGAAGCCAATACCATTTCACCTATCACGGTCGTTCGTTCACGGACTCGTCAAACCAGTGTCATGAAAGCCTTTCAGAAGTCTGTTTCGGCCCCTTGCTGTTTCATCCCCTAAATATTTTCAGATTTCCTTAACGCGTTTACACAACACAATTACCACCTTTGCCTTTGTCCTGGAGCTGTACATGATGGGTTCTGCTCTGATGTCGGGCGATGTTGGTACACCCCTCCGGCCAAAACAACTAAACGATTACGGGCCATGGTAGGATGAAGGGTTACCAAAACAGCGCAGCGCCAGCTTCGCTGAGAGCTGACTCGCTAACACGTCATACGAGACGAGCTGTGGGGAGTAGGGGTCTATACAATGTGACCAGTAAGCATTTACCCACTAACTATTTTCATATGGCTCTATCATGTTTTAAACGATGCTCGGGGATATTCGGTTTGTCGGGGTTACATAAACATCGAAACGTGAGAATGGCCACGTATACTGACCTAGCTGGCAATCATTACAGGTATCAGTCCCTCGCCATGAAGGGAAGGGGAAGCTTATGTCTTCTTGGTTTATTCAGGCAGTGATATGAATATAATACTGATAGTATGGACAGACAACTACACCACCCAAAGAGACGGGTCACATACTGTAGCCTGGAGCCCTTGGGAACCTTACCTTTCAATTACAGGGACTCTATAGACTGTGAAGATGATCGTGAGGTTTATATGGTAAACATATAATTAACATATACTATGTATATAACACCTACGTAAACAAAACATGTTGTAAACTATTTCTAAACCAAATATAATTATTTGTTCAATTTTGTTTTAAAAAATGCTCATGTCTGAAAAACATGATTATATTCATATGCACAATACTACGTCAAGGGCTATCAATCAGAACTGAAACGTAGACGGAGGTCAACAACAGGTTTAACTTGGGAATTGTGACAGTAATCAATGAAGTCACCAAATTGTTTTGTAAATCAGAAGGAAAATATGGTACTGGGTGACGGCATGTACCAGACAGAAGGCAGTTAACCTTTGTGTCAATATTACCGCGACTAATTAGTTTTTGAGGTTTTGGGGTAGCCCAGTGCACGTGGTTAAAGTGTTTGCTCCTCACCCCGGGTACTATTCCCCACATGGGTGAAATGTGTGAAGCCCATTTCTGATGTTCCCCGCCGTGATATTGCTGGAATATTGCTAAAAGCGGCGTAAAACCATACTCACTCACTCATTAGCTTTTAATATGATAAGGGGCGGTGGTTAAAGCGTTCGCTCATCAAGCCGATGACCCGGGTTCGATTCCCCACATGGGTACAATGTGTGAAGCCCATTTCCGGTGTCCCCCGCCGTGATATTGCTGGAATATTGCTAAAAGCGGCGTAAAACCATACTCACTCACTCACTCACTCACTCACTCACTTTAATATGATAAAACCGTGTAGTAATTTATATATGGTATCGCAATATTTTATACCTAAGTACGTAATAGTTATATTTAGTTTTCAACATTTTTCTAATCTGATTCGTTTCCTACTATTGCCACAGGGCAGCTAAATATTCCACATGCCGATCCGGAAACCACACCAGACTCTCCCGCGGTGATCAGCTTATGTCCTGGGATGGCAATACCAAACTTCAGTCAATCAGCCGACTTAGGAATAGGCGTTGGATTACAAACGTCATGTTTTTCTTCCATATAACTCCCAGTATGGGTGATTAGGTGTAATTTAATAAACTTCGTGGAATGTTTCTTCTTTCACCGTGATTTGAAGCTAAGAATTCAAGCAATATCGTGAACTCTCTGTGTGATATCAGGGAAGATTTTCCGCGTGAAATACGTCCAACAAAGACAGGGCTAGGAGCCACGGTCACACGCCTTTCTGGAGCACTCGAGTCCGACTTCAATGCAACGTCTCTGGAGATTACAACATTCTTGAGAGGCATCTGTTGCACATATCAGATTTCTCATTGTTGAATGTCGACCACATATAGGTCAGATGCTGCATAGATCTCGTCATCTCACATTGACAGCAAGGTTACTCCCGTGGATTCATACAGCACTATATGCAAAGAACACAGCTACAGAGTAGGCGAGTGTGAGAGGGGTGCTGTGTTGTGTGCTGGTTATGTTGAGGTGTTAAATGACGTTGGGCACTGTATCACTAGCGAATGGTACCCCAGTGCTGCTAGCCGTCGCGATATAGAGTTGCCTCCCTTAGCCATACCAGGATCCAGTAATTTCGGGGTTTGTATCCTAGAATTGCCCTGATACTTGGTTTACCACCCCCCTGGGTTCATGGCTTCTTCGTTCGACCAGAGGTGTAAACGTATATCACAAATACATGCATGGCAAGTCAATGTTTCACCCCAAACAAACCGGAATCATATGGTACAAATCAATGTTTCACCCCAAACAAACCGGAATCATATGGTACAAGTCAATGTTTCACCCCAAACAAACCGGAATCATATGGTACAAGTCAATGTTTCACCCCAAACAAACCGGAATCATATGGTACAAGTCAATGTTTCACCCCAAACAAACCGGAATCATATGGTACAAGTCAATGTTTCACCCAAAACAAACCGGAATCATATGGTACAAGTCAATGTTTCACCCAAAAACAAACCGGAATCATATGGTACAAGTCAATGTTTCACCCAAAAACAAACCGGAATCATATGGTACAAGTAAATGTTTCACCCCAAACAAACCGGAAACATATGGTAAAAGTAAATGTTTCACCCCAAAACAAACCGGAAACATATGGTACAAGTCAATATAGTCGATTATTTCGGTTATCATTTTTGCAACTGATCACTCAAATTATTAATACCTTCCATATGCTCACCATAATACATTTGGAAAGCTTTATTAAGCCCTTGATTGCTGTAATCAACTCTGATCAACTTTTGAGCAAGCGTGGCATGAAATATCCTGCTTGATTGTACCTCATAAATGCTGTAAAACATAGACATACGCTGCTGGAATATATAGGGACTGTTGACTCTCTGAGAGACATTCAGGGTGTCGTGCTCCGTGGTAGTGTTCAGCAATACCTACCTTATCAATGCAAGGTGGTTTCTGCGTTCATAATGTACATCAGGACAACGAACAGTACTTTTAACAACATATAATAACATTCAAAGCAACTGTTTTGAGTCATGACATAAACAAGACTTCAGATTTCTCTTAGGTTTATATTACAGCCTACCACTAACATCTACCATCGGGTCGGCGTACAAATGACCCTGTTGTACAAAGCGAACATAGTGTTGAGTCGGTCGCCAGTAGAAGCGCTAAGGTCCGGGACGTGATTACTTCCGTGGTTAAGAGACTTTTAGGGGACGGGTAAGTCAAATGGTCAGCGTTGGCCCTGTGGCTCCATTGGTGACTGCGTTGTAGGAAGTCATACTGTGTTTTCCAGATCCCAAGCCGCCAGCCGAGGAGCCATGTATGTTGGAGCCATGCTATGACAACTATGAACTGAGAGCAGTCGGGTTGACGACGTGTAGCAGGAGCTGTCTAGGAGGTAGGTCTCTGTCATATACACCACCGTACTGGCGCAACTTAAAGGAACTCTATGGAATGCTTTGCGTATAAGAGTCCAGCTATGCCTGGAAGGTAGATATATGTTTTTCAAATGCTGTTTGTAAACAACCACTGTGGTTCATATTCCCATGGCGATCCAGGGACCGTGTAGTAGGCCCCAGAACACTGTGATTGTCGTAGGAAAGGACACACGAGGATCAATGTACAATGTGTGACCTGACTGGTTGTATGTCATCGTGTCCGCTACATGTATTGTTGCTCACTCCGTCAACCACCGGTTTGTCTCACCCACATTCAATTATTATTGACGACCGAGGCATAGCTGAAATATTGCTGACTGCGCCATAATTCAGCATTCACTCAGTGAGATGAATCAGGGAACCAGTTGTCCTGTGTTGGTCAGCTGACCCTCTGTAAGCCCGCCCGCGCATAACATGACACTGTCAGCTGGCCCTGTGTAGGCCCACCCCGCTCATAGCATGATGGGCACAATGTGTGAAGTCCATTTCTGATGACCCCGCCGTGATATTGCTGAAATATTGCTAAAAGCGGCGTAAAACTAAAACACACTCACTCACATAACATATGACTGGTCTGATGCAGGTACCCAGGAGACAATGCTCCAGTGTATCCACAAGGGGAACGGCAGTATTGTAGGCCAGGAGTACTGCGAGAGAGCTGCCCAAGTCCCCATCACACGGAGAGTGTGTAATGATGTGCCGTGCCCTCAAAGGTAAGGATTCCGTAATAGCTGACCTAGGAACAGGGACAGTAGGAGAATGAACGCAGTGATGCACCTTGTCCAGGTCGTTGTTGACCTTCCTAAAAGTATTTCAAGGAGTCCTTACTAAAAGAGGGGATTGGTGTGGAGGTTGCCTCTATGACTATGTTCAAGGATGATAACAGATGGACAAATTGTTTCACGAGTGAGTGAGGAGGTTTTACGCTGCCTCAGCATTATCCAGATATATGGTGGTGGTCTGTAAATAATCGAGTCTGGACCAGACAATCCAGTGATCAACAGCATAAGCATCGATCTGCTGATCGATGATATATGTCGACCAAGTCAGCGAGCCTGACTACCCATCCCGTCAGTCGCCTCTTACAACAAGCATGGGTTACAGAAGGTTCATTCTAACCCGGACCTTCACGGGTCCCTTTTCACGAAGCTATATTGGTTGTTAGGAGACCGTAACACATATGCTTCATAACTGACCCTCGACAGTAGTAGCGCTAGAGAACCGGTGCTCAAGACATCATTCAGTGAACTTTGTGGGGATCGGAACAGGGCCCCTAGCGTGACGAACCAATGCTTTTAACCCTTAGGCACCCCTGTCAGCCCCCTTATATTGGAATCATGCTGTAACGATTAATGTCCACACATGACGATATCAGCTGACATTAAGGCACATGGCCCACTGTTTCAACAGTCAGAATACCGAGGGGTCATATCTTGGTCCCGTTCGGCAATGCGATACAAACACTATCGAAGTCCTAAGCCTAAGAACGGTAGTTACTATCGTCTTAGCGCTGAGGTCGCTCCATCTAAACTGGCCGTGGATATATCTGCCTCTAGTCGGTGAGGGTAAACATATATCATGTCTGGATACTGACCCTGCCCAACTCGGGGGTTTGGTGTTGTCTTTGTTTCCTTCATCAACAGCTACAGGTGCGCTGTAAAGGTGTACCTGTAACAGCGGTGTTTCGCCCAGTTAAATAGCTATGTAGCACTATGTACAGTCGTCTAATGATGCCAAACCCGTGAGAGAGATCCCAAGTAGAAAGGACAATTGGTTCTCAGCAGTGTTTGGTATGACAAGGAACTCCTTCCATCTGTGCTATGATGGCGTTCCCCAGCTTTCAAGTTTCAAACATCAGAGTCCATGTGTTAGCCGTTGAGAGGAATCCAGCCCCAGACCACTATGATGGAATTCATTAGCGCTCCTAGCCACTGTGTTGACAAGGTGAATTAACACCACACGTACGGCCGTGGTCTACGTCTTTAAAATACCACGGCTATTGTTGAATATATTTTTGAAATAAATCCCGTGAAAAGTGTCAATTATTGCCCTGCAAAGGTATTTGTTTTATTGTTCTGGGAGACTCGTCTACACCTCGTCGTGGTAATGGAAACACGCATGTGTTATGTTTGGTATTGTGTTTAAGTCTCGCTCGTTCCTTAATGTAGATCTTTCCTCCGTATTATTAGCCACGAACAATAATAGAAATTATTATGGACATTTAACATATGGGTGGATATATAATGTTTGAGGCGTTTAGTATAAAACAAAGTGACTACTGGATGTTGATAATCTGTTCCCGGTCCTCGAGTAAGCAGCACACACAAGGTTTATTTAGGCCACCGAGAGGTTCCATTCACGCTCTTCACTTACAATGGAGTCTATGGAGCCTATAAAATCTGGTATCAAATCGCTGGCCCGACCAAATTCATGTCATACTTGCCATGCATGGCATATAACTGGTGGATCCAAGGCCCTTATGTGGCAACCGGGCATGTTTTTGGTTACTTTGTAATTTGGGCATAGTGTGCAACCCATCCCTTTTTAAAATATACTTGTGCGCATGTTGGAAATGGAAGCAATATTGTATTATTGTAATTCCGGAGCTGGCCATATGTACGACCGGCCGATCACGCCGCACGCACTTCAGGTAAGGCGACAACGACTGGCCTTAATATTACTCATTGTTGCCATTTGGTAAAACTTAGAAATATTCAAAGTTTTACTCTTCGTCGAAAGAACCAAAATGTCCCGCTGTTTAATTATGATACTTTTTGTTTGTTGTTTGGTATACCCGTGAAGGTCCGGGTTAGAATATTGATCTTGAGTAACCCATGCTTGTCGTAAGAGGCGACTAACGGAATCGGGTGGTCAGGCTCGCTGACTTGGTTGACACATGTCATCGGTTCCCAATTGCGCAGATCGATGCTCTTGCTGTTGATCACTGGATTTTCTGGTCCAGACTCGATTATTTACAGACCGCCGCCATATAGCTGGAATATTGCTGAGTGCGGCGTAAAACTAAACTCACTCACTCACTGTTGTTTGGTAAGGGCGACTACATGTAGGACCTTCACGTTCCTCGAGTGGACAACAGATCCATACTTTAACGAATCCGCATCGATAGTTGTGCATCAAGTATACATATCTACATTGCTGAGAAAAAAGAATCCGTATTGCCGATGGGGAATGTTCCCAGTAACCCGTTTATGACATTCCATTTTGGCATTTTGTTCAGCATCATATTTCTACATTACACTGTCTCCTAACTCACATAACTGGCTGGCCCTGACCCTTCCTCTCCTGTGACACATCTATGTTGCAGAGGAACTAGACGGATGCTATCTGTTTCAGCCAACCGTAATATGAGTAATAACTACACGGCTTAGTGTGTCGTCTCGGGGAACACGGTCTCGTAGATAATGAGACACTGCTTGAGAACGATGTTAATCAACTGATAATAGATCGCTACTTACAACCCCGACACCTAACCCTGTCCCCCAGTCACCGGATTCCCACCTGTCATGCCCTCCTTTCTTCAAACCAGACCTATATGTTACTTTCGTCTCGCCAACCACAGAAAGAACCACAACTCACCCCCGTCTTAGATATGGCGTAAGGGTTGTCTCATGGTTAACGCGTTTCTTTAATACGCCGTGTTCGTATCCATCTAGTCTGTCTCACAGTCCATGAACCACATTATTTTCCCTACTGTCAAGCCCTCTTTGCAGTGCCAAAGCCCTAAATAAAGCAAGTCTAGATTTCCTCAGGTTCTGAATCTCTGGTCTCCCTAGGGCTCCTTTTCAATTTAAATGGGCTTGTTTGTTACTATCAAAATTATATATATTCAGAGACTAAGCATTAGTCTAGTATCCATCATTCATAGAGTACCGGGTTTTTTTTCTGCAGTGGTTTTGAAGACAGTATAAAAATAGAATAGTGTTCAGTGTTGTCCAGTGATCTTAGGTGTTGCAAGTCCGCTGCGGGTTGCTTCCCTTACCTATGCAAGGATGTGGTTAGTGGTGGTTTTGACTACTGAGTTTTTTTTGACGATTGTTTTCAGCTACGATCTGCTGCACGGTATCGTTTCTTCTCATTCTTTATCTCAACTTCATCCTTTTGTGACAGGTGGCGCATCGGGGACTTCAGCATGTGTTCCAGCACGTGCGGGGGTGGGATCATGAACAGGAGTGTCGCGTGTATCCAGGTGGTCGCCCTGGGGCCGGAGAAGGTGCTCCGCCTCCCTGATGTCATGTGTCAGCAGCCTGTCCCAGACAGAGAGCGGGGGTGTAACACGCAGGACTGTCCGGCAGACTGGGTCGTGGGAGACTGGGAGAGGGTGGGTACACAGCGATCATACAAATCTTATAAATAATGAACTTGGTCGTTTGGTAGGTATAAAAGCATATGAAGTCATCGCAGGAGAGTAATCAGTCTCGCCAACCTGTTGAAACAGATTTGAAGTAAAATGCAAATAGTGGCAAAAAATGTTATAACATTTGTAATTGATCACTGACACCAGCACCGGCACCAGGTGTTCGCGAAAAAGGTAAGCATGTCCTTACCTCCCGGAAGAACCCAGTTGCATTTATTTTAAAGGTGGGTGTTTGTTTCTTGCATGACGCCGCACAGCAATGCTGAAATTTCTAAGAGAACTTCAGACTCTTGTGCATTCATATTCGATGTATACGTTTGGGTTGATACTGCACTGTAAAGCACCCCTCTAATAATCGGCATCGCCCACTCTACGAGTTCACAAACGACAATGGGCATTTCGTCAACAGGTTCTTGCAGGACATTATTAATGTCATTATATCAATGACTGGACATTAAAACATATAGAAATAATCCATATTCTATGTGTTGGATAGGCTTTTATTATTTTAGTACAGAAAATAATGAAAAATACATTTGACATAAATTTGCAGGTTCGCTGAAAATATCGTTAAAAATATGTATCCCAGAAGAGTTTGTCCATCGAATCCTTTGAGAACCCAAACCAGTTCATACTATACTTACGCTATGTTTATACGAATGCTTTGCCCTGACGATTGAACCATCTCCTTCTGCAGTGTTCAGTGACGTGTGGCGCTGGCGTCATCAGCCGGAAGGTCACGTGTCAGCGGAAGTCGGCCGAGGACAGAAGCACGCTGGTCAACTACATGGAATGTCGACCCAGTGACCGGCCTCATTCGGAGAAACCCTGCAATCTAACAGTCTGTCCAGAAATTAGAATCAAAGAGCAACAACTGAGATTCTTTCAGCTTAATAAAATGAAAAAGGTGCGTCTTCTCATCGGTTCAAATGCCGCCATCTTGCCTGGAACGTCTGTGATAGCCAAATGCCCGGTTAAAGGCTTCAACAAGCGGAAGCTGGAGTGGTACAGAAATGGACGTCGCATTCGAAATGGCCGACGGGTAAATGTTTCCAAAAAGGGAAATCTTAGAATTCGTAAAGGTCGTCCAGACAGGGATGCCGGTGTGTACTCCTGCAAAGCAAACCATGCCGTCTCCAACTTGACAATAGTGTTTAGCAGCGTCCTTGACCTTTTAAGACAGACGGTAGTGAGGGAGAAGTATCTTCTTGGATACCTCTCAGACGGCTCTCAGACCGTGAATTCAGCATTATATAAAGACCCTTTTGATAGGAAGCAGAAGGCCTTGCAGATCGTCGTGAGCGAGTGGACGCCGTGTTCGGTCAGATGCAATGGCGGCATTAGAGAACGTAACGTCAGCTGTGAGATCATCACCAACGACTACTTCGAGGAGTTCCCCCTGAAGGTGTGCAGGGGAGCCAACCTACACGTGCCCCTGGGAAAGGAGAAGTGCAATGTTGATCCCTGCGTCACATGGAAGTCGGGCAACTGGTCAGACGTAAGTTCAACAGTAGCACATGGTTTTAGTAGTGCACAGATGATTGGTCTCGGTGAAATCATGTATCCGTGTCTTTAAGCTAGGCACGAACAGGTGTGTGTGTCACCATGCTCCAGTAGGGTTTTCATACGGGTGTCACTTCATGTTTCAGTACGGTCTAACAGGTGTGTGTCTCCATGTTTCAGTGTGTCATCAGGTATGTGTCTCCGTGTTTCAGTGTGTCACCAGGTGTGTGTCTCCATGTTTCAGTGTGTCACCAGGTGTGTGTCTCCGTGTTTCAGTGTGGCATAGACAGCTGTGTACGTGAGAGTTACGCCATTCACCGGAGGCGGGTGAAGTGCGTCCGCCTGGACAACAGTTCGGAGGTGGAAGAGAGGCTCTGTAACGTCACCCTGAAACCCCTGTCCCTCAGCGAGTGCCCTAACATACACTGCAAGCCCATGTGGAACGTCTCCGAGTGGTCACACGTGAGTAGCAGCCCATCCTCAGAATACTTGCAATACTTGCCCGTACTCACAATACTGGTTCATACCAAAAGTACTGCTCAAACTTACACTACTGATATTCCACGTTCAAGCTGATATTAATGGTTCAGACTGATACTCCCTTGTGTATTGTCAGTACAAACTGGTCTTCAGTAACCCATGCTTGTGGTAAGAGGCGACTAACGGGATCGGATGGTCACGCTCGTTGATTTGGTTGACACATGTCATCGGTTCCCAATTGCGCAGATCGATGCTCTTGCTGTTGATCACTGGATTGTTTGGTCCAGACTCGATTATTTGCAGACCGCCGCCATATAGCTAAAACATTGCTGTGTGGCGTTAAGCAACAACCAACAAACCAATCATACTGAAAGTACTGGTCTACTTCAGAGTACTGTATCGTCCATGTATAAGATGGCACACTCGATACTGGAACGTCATGGGTTGGAAGAGAGAGCTCCATTCCCTTAATGCACATGATCTGGTCTAGACATCAGATGTGGTATCAACCAACGCGCTGTTGACATCTAACCATCCCAACAAAACAAACCTTCAAATTGTTAACACCAGACCACCCAACTGATACGATCAGACCATCCAGATGATACCAGCACAACTTCCTGAAACATTTGCTCTGCTCTTGTGCAATCCTTCTGGCGCCATGATGACGTTGCAGGAATGTTTGTAAAATGTCACTTGACATCCTGAAGCTGTAAGATATTTGACAGAATATGTCTGTCAGTCCACATCTCTGGTAGGGAGAATGTATTTACAGATACTGTAGAACAGTAGAACAGTACTAGATATATATTTCACGTCATGGTTTAATTCTGACTGTGACACGCTACATTCTATGTAATCCATATTCACCACTGTATCAATAGTGTATGTCGGTATGAAGCACCGGGCTCGACACCAACCTACAGACCCGTGCCAGATATATTCGGACACTTGACGTAATTTCCATAGACTTACATGTTATTTCAGTGTAGCATAAATAATTTTCATGAAGTGAGTTTAGGATGGATCTTTGTAAAATTTGACAGGCAAAAGTGAAATCATCTCTGCTCTGCGCACATAATTTCAGTTCAGTTTTCCGACCACTATTTAACTAATGGCATCACATTTATCGACTTACGTATGGTTCCACAATGCACAATCCCATAGGCCGCCATGTTAAAGGAGTTCTCGGCACTGTACATATGTTGATTAACTTGTTGCCATTCGATAAATAAGCAACGGAAAATTAAACAGAAATTATGTGATTGTAGGTAAGATGATTCCTCACAAATGTGCAAAATTTGACTTGGATCTAACGAAAAGTAAATTCATGAAAATTACTTATGCCACACTAAATTAACATGTAAGTCTATGGAAATTACGTCAAGTGTCCGAATATAACTGGCACGGGTCTGTATGTGTTGTTTGGGATAGCCTTGCTCCAAAGCTGCACTGAATTATGTGTGAGTCCAACCAAGTAGAGTAAGTGTGTCGTGATAAGAGGGTGGTCAAGATGAGCGGACAGTACATTCAGGGTGAGGCATGAGTTGTCATAAGTCTGTATTTGGTAGTGCAACTCGTTACAGTACAGTTAATAAAATGCATCTCAATTTTGGCACCTCCATATATAATTACATGAATATATCACAGTGTGTTATCAAACGCCATGAACAGGCAATATTTTGCATGAATGTGTCACGTTGACAACAGACATTCCAGTGGCGGATCCAGAGGGGGGTTCGAACACACACAACCACCCCACCCCCACCCCCAGCCTTTTTTTTGAAAATGACTAAAGACCACACTGAAGTTAATGTTTTGCAATGGCGGAGCCGAGGTTGGGTTCAGGGGGTTCGAACCCCCTGAACCCGTCCCCCACCCCTTGAAAATTTCTGGATCCGCCTATGCATTCCGTATCACATATGAATTTGAACTCGCCATCAACTCTGCACCAATTCCTCGTGGACATGTTTGCACGTCCATGTGTTTTGACAAACTGTAAACCTTCTGAGGGAAATGTTCATCCTTGGCCTGACTGATGATGTGGTTGTCTTGCATGTTGCAGTGCCTGGCTGAGTGTGACGAGACAGGCTTCCAGAGTCGCAGTCTGACGTGTATCTGGGACTTCACGGGCAGACCAGCAGGACGGAGCTGTCAGCGACTCAAGCGGCCCATAGTCACACAGACATGTAATGCTAGAGCCTGTTCCGATAGTAAGTACATGCTACCAGTTTGGGTTTTAACATCAGAATCTTGAACCAACAAAGGCTGGGTCTTACTGATGTCTTGTTTGTGTACCTCTGATCGACTGAGTGGACTGGGTTAAAACACTGCTATGAACAGTAATAGTTATGTCACCTTATATGAGTGAGTGAGTTTGGTTTTACGCCGCTTTTAGCAATATTCCAGCAATATCACGTCGAGGGACACCAGAAATGGGCTTCACACATTGTACCCATGTGGGGATTCGAACCCGGGTCTTCCGCGTGACGAGTGAACGCTTTAACCACTAGGCTACCCCACCGCCCCACCTAATATGAGAGGACACTAAAGTCGGTGACTTCTATCACTATTTGAAACCATGACACATATGATGCTAATAAACTAAATGACTCAAGCAGTTCAAAACTAAGTCGACAAGCTCCGGTAGTGTGATTCTCTTCTCCCAGCTGTACAGTTAGTGTCGAATTACGTCCCTTTACACGCCTCGTCACGTGATGACTGACTGACTGACTGAGTTTAGTTTTACGCCGCTTTTAGCAATATTCCAGCAATATCACGGCGGGGGACACCAGAAATGGGCTTAACACATTGTGCCCATGTGGGGAATCGAACCCGAGTCTTCGGCGTGACGAGCCAACGCTTTAACCACTAGGCTACCCCACAGCCCCTCGTCACGTGATGTATGTGCACTGTATTAATAGCAGGCATATCTGGAAACAAAAGGCTATGTACCAACACTTTCTGCATTCGTAACTACTCGCCTCTTTCCGTGACCTACAAGAAGACTCGTACCCCTATCGTACGCCATAATTGCCAAGAATCGTGGCAAACCAATCAAATCGCGCGTAGTAAAACGCATTTCGAAGCATGAAAATGGCGGCACCGTTGAACTTTGAAACTTCGCTAAACTATGCAAAGCGCAATTTAAACATAACCTTTGAGCTAAGGGATCAGAAACTTTAAACAATGAAACATATTTACAAAGGGAATGACTGTATTGCTGTTTTACCCACGGGATGTAGGATATTCTATTAGCCATGTTTGGAAATTCAGAGTTATCTTTCCTTTGTAATGGTACTAGACTATTTCTCCATGCCCGTTTGCGCTTAGACAGGGCCCAGTCGTAAACATGGAGGGTCTGAGACGGCATCCGGCTTGCCGGAATGACACGAGTAGTTACGAATGCACTTTTTGGTGTTGACCTCCGCGTCAGATAGGACTGAATTCCTGGTGAAGGTGCGTTCTCCGCTGCGATTTGTGGCAACATTGGGATGTGAACAATGGAACGTCAGAACATTTTATATCGCATACAACTAGTTTTGCCGAGTGTGAACACACAGAGATAGTGTTATTTGCTTCCATCAAATTCTATTAAAGAAACTGCGTAACTCTGTGTCAGTTCTGAGCGACCGTTACGAAGAAGCTTCATTTCATCAAAAGGAAGAGAACGATTCATCAGCTTAATGAAATCCTGAAATCCGTTGTAACAAGTTAATCCGACATAAAACAAACAAGATTTGTTACGATGCTAATTGTTTATCCACAAACAGAACTTCAAACCGCACGGTGAGAACGAACCTTAAGAGGAACCGGCGCGACATATATCTCACACACATCTAGTACGTTAGATTCAGGTCTGTGTTGTGGCTTCATGTATGAAAAGTTAACAAAACCTTAAAACATAGAGAAGACTGTTGGAAGGGTGTCGACCTATACAGAATGTGAGACCTTTCACTGAAGCCCAAACTACACCTCCAGACACAAATAGTACAGTGATTCTAATTTCCATGTTCCTTTGTTTCCTTCAGGTTGCCATGACGAGTCTGACTACTGCAGTATCGTAAAGCTGATGAGGTTATGTCGCTTTATAAACTTTAGACAGAAGTGTTGCGCCAGCTGCAAGGAGGAGATGACATCATGACAGAACGGAAGTGGTAGACGAGGGACCACGTGACCTAAGATGGTGTAATCTCGCGATATTCGACGAAGGGCGAGGTTACTAACAAAGAGAACAACGTGTGAGTTCAACAGGAAATGAAGCCTTCTGGGAATTAAAGTAACAGAATACCATTGTCGCCAAAGATGTGTGTTTCCATGCAACAACACGATGACAGAATCATTATTACCTTGTACAACGTTGATGTTCCAAACATGGAACCAGCACGAGAAGAGACCTTGGTGAACTCTAGCACAACAGGGCAGTCCATATCTTCCCTCCGGCAGAACTGCAAAGGACACCTGGTGTTGCAGTTTGAGGTGTTTAGTGATTCCCATGTCAAATGATTATACCTTTTTCCATATATTACCTCATTTCACATTTCATTGGGGTTTTGTGCACACATGTGTTCAGTGTCCTTGTTTTGGGTCTTGTTCCTAAAGATCTTTGCAGACAGAGACCAAACTTCTGGTTTCTATAATACGTCACAAAAAGTACTATCTGTTTGTAGAGTCAGTGTATAGCCTGGCAACTGTTAGTGAAGATTGTTGCACAACATGTGTAGCATCGACTGTACAAATATCAGTTGGTATGATTAGTTGAAGCCCAGATCACTACCCTGAGAACATACGCCAATACCAAATGACGTTGTGACGTCATTGACGCCACTGTGACGTTAAACTCCGTATATTGTAAGTTATTCAATATGATGTATATTGTTTATGTGTTTAGTTAGGGCGAATGTTTTTACGGTCACTGGTGGTGATAATGATATTCTGATGTATTATTGGTTGTTTCATGTAGTTCAAACCGTTTACACGTGTCGTTATGTAGTTTATCCACATAGATATTATTGAGTACGTATTGCTCACATCAACGAATCAGCAGGCCACATGACTCCCCGGATTCTCCTGCACTAGACTGCCTTGGGTGTGACAGGAAGAAAAGCATGATCTACCTGGTCGCATTCATTATGGACGAGAATACAGGGTGGTGGGAAGACAGATGAATCACTTCGTGTTACATCCAAATTACCTGATCACATTTGATCCCATGCTCTGTGGGCTCTGGTAGCCTCATGATGCTCATTTCCGAGATGCCATGGAACTTATACCGTTACAGCTGATGACCAGGTAACATGACACGGTAATACAAGCAGGTAATCGAACGTGTTTCCCATGGTGTGATATCAGAACGGCCTGGTCAGCTTGAATCAACGTAGATATTCGTGTTTCAATGATCGTGTAATGTTGACAATGGAGTTGCCAAATCTTCCATGACTGTGACATCACGATGGACAGTCACTTGTCTGACATGTAGCTCACCTGGCCAGCGTTCACCGAGATATTCAAATAGTCAGTTAAGCTATGATGCGGTCGCTGGTTGATCACCTGGACAGCGCTGACCGCCACACCATGACCCCTAGCTGTGTGTCCTCAGAATGGCCTGGGCCTTGTCAGCTGTGGCTTCAGTTTGGCGAACGTTTCTCTCGAACATAGACACAGTGCTTACATTTGTATACACGTTCAGTTGCTCTCACGCCCTGGTGGATTAAAACACTAGACATAGCAAAAGTTCTGGCTTACAGTAATGAAACATTGAAGAAATCAAACACGTTATGCCATATGTGTTTTTCTCACTTTTCCAAAGATTTTTGAGCATAATCGTAATTGATTGGGTACGTTACTCGATACTAGTCATGCTTCTACACATATCGATTGGAATATCGATGTGGAAATCAGACGTAAGCATCTTTATGTTAATGTGGCAACTTGTAAAGTGTACTTTCATTCATGTGTGTACTGAGGTGGCGTAAAACTATCCATATGTTTCTTGTCAAATATTTGGATTCCAGCTTTGTGTTTAGCCCTGTGGGCCGTTCAGGCTGACAGTGTATGGGTGGAATCTATAATGCTTATTATAGCTATGTTGAGAGTGTTTATAGTATTGACAGATTTCGCGACTGAAATAGACGTGTGCTGGTAACCATATATTGAGCACCAGGTGGTGTGATGCATGGTGTAACGTCAAAGTATATTGAGCACCAGGTGGTGTGGTGAATAGTGTAACGTCAAGGTATATGAGCACCAGGTGTGGTGCTGGATAGTATAACGTCAGGGTATATTGAGTACCAGCTGTTGTGCCGGATGGGGTAACGTCAATGAATATTGAGCACCAGGTGGTGTGCTGGATAGTGTAACGTCAAGGTTTACAGAGCACCAGGTGTTGTGTTAGATAGTGTAACGTCAAGGTGTATTGAGCACCAGGTGGTGTGCTGAATAGTGTAACGTCAAGGTATACAGAGCACCAGGTGCTGTGCAGGATAGTGTAACGTCAAGGTATACAGAGCACCAGGTGCTGTGCAGGATAGTGTAACGTCAAGGTATACAGAGCACCAGGTGCTGTGCAGGATAGTGTAACGTCAAGGCAGGAGCACCAGGTGCTGTGCAGGATAGTGTAACGTCAAGGTATAAGGGTGGTGCTGTGTAACGAGTGTAACGTCAAGGTATACAGAGCACCAGGTGCTGTGCAGGATAGTGTAACGTCAAGGTATATACTGAGCACCCAAGGTGCTGTGCAGGATAGTGTAACGTCAAGGTATGAGCACCAGAGCACCAGGTGCCAGCATGGTGTGTCAAGGATGGAGCACCAGGTGCGTGCATAGGTCAAGGTATACAGAGCACCAGGTGCTGTGCAGGATAGTGTAACGTCAAGGTATACAGAGCACCAGGTGCTGTGCCAGATAGTGTAACGTCAAGGTATACTGAGCACCAGGTGGTGTGCTGAATAGTGTAACGTCAAGGTATACTGAGCACCAGGTGGTGCAGTGTAACGTCAAGTGCAGGGAATAGTGTAACGTCAAGGTATACAGAGCACCAGGTGTGTAGCGTGTACAGAGCTGCAGGATAGTGTAACGTCAAGGTATACTGAGCACCAGGTGGTGTGCTGAATAGTGTAACGTCAAGGTATACAGAGCACCAGGTGCTGTGCAGGATAGTGTAACGTCAAGGTATACTGAGCACCAGGTGCTGTGCAGGATAGTGTAACGTCAAGGTATACAGAGCACCAGGTGCTGTGCAGGATAGTGTAACGTCAAGGTATACTGAGCACCAGGTGCTGTGCAGGACAGTGTAACGTCAAGGTATGCTGAGCGCCATGTGGTAGTATACTTCAAGGTATGCTGAGCACCAGGTGCTGTGCAGGACAGAGTAACGTCAAGGTATGCTGAGCGCCATGTGGTAGTATACTTCAAGGTACTATACTAGAATTTGACATAATTCAACCAGAGTTTTTTAAGTTATTTTCTCACCTTTGATATTATAATAAACCAACCCACTACCTCTTGTGTATTAGTATTATGTGTAATTAGTTTAAACACACGATACAACACCAACATTTTACTGAACCAGCGTCAAGTACGGTCAAAAGTTTCTTTTCAGGAATTTGTTTTAACAATGATGTTCACGTTGTTTAAGTGTTTTTGGCCCATGTTTTATTTATTTCAAACACAGCCAGACTTGAATCATAGATATTACTGTATGTTCTCATGCTGTACTAATGTGTAAGTGTTCGTGTACGGGAGTATTATATCTTATCATGTCGTGTAATTTATCCTTCATATTCCCTTTAACAAGCTCTATATTCAACTGTTGTAATCTGCGTTCTGTCAAAGTGGTTCATTCAGGTTCCAGTCTCCCCGTCATAAATAGAGAGCAGACACCTCCTTTAATGACACTTCTAATGATCAATAACGACAGACAATTCTTATGTTGTCATAATGTTACTGTCATGTCAGTTTATGCATATATTGCTAATTATTTTCCTCGGTACTTTTGCATTTTATCATTTAATGTTTTCAGAGATAAATCAATTTTTTATATTTCTTTGTTTTAGAACTTATTTTAGACTCGTTATTTAAGCTTGGTTTGTACCCCCCTTGAACCGCCCGTTTATATGTATTTATTAATATGCTGCAACACCTGACGAAATAAAGTATATGGACGGATCTTTCTGTTTATTACAGTTTATCCGTTGAACTTCGTTGGTTTGCCATTTTACAATACTGTGTCCGACTCTATGTTGTACGTGCACAGAGAGTGTTCAGTAGACGTAGACGAGCAGAATGCATCTAGTGTACAGTAGACGTAGACGAGCAGAATGTCTAGTGTACAGTAGACAGGTTGTATGTGTGGTACTTGTAACAATTTGTTTTGAGAGACTGAACAATTAGAATTTGAGAAACCAAATTATAAAAAGGCACAGCTTTTAATTTATGTCAACAATATTCCGCTGGAATAAATATTAATTTCATTTAATTCTATCTGTGTTTTGTATTTCCACGTCATGAGTAGCTTATGGGTTAATATAGACTTCACCCCTGGTACACCCACCGACCCCTAGGCTCTTACTCACACACACACACACACACACACACACTCTCTCTCTCTCACTCACTCACTCTCTCTCTCTCTCTCTCTCACTCTCTCTCTCAACCTCTCTCTCTCTCTCTCCACTCTCTCTCTCTCTCCCAAAGCCCTGACACACACACCTGCATCAATCCCACCCAACCCTCTCTCACACACACTCTCTCTCTCTCACTCTCTCTCTCTCCTGCATCACCCACCAATCCCAACCCACACCTGCATCACCTCCCAAAGCCCTCGCACACACACCTGCATCAATCCCACCCCCACCCAACCCCACACACACATCTCCTGCATCGCCCACCAATCCCAACCCACGCCTGCATCACCAGCCCTCGCACAAAGCCCTGACAATCCCACACACGTGCATCAATCCCACACACCACACCCGACTCTCTCTCTCTCTCTCTCTCTCTCTCTCTCTCTCTCCCTCTCTCTCTCTCCTGCATCGCCCACCAATCCCGACCCACACCTGCATCACCCCCAAAGCCCTTACACACACACCTGCATCAATCCCACCCCACCCACCCCCCCACACACACACACACACTCTCTCTCTCTCTCTCTCTCTCTCTCTCTCTCTCTCTCTCTCCTGCATCGCCCACCAATCCCAACCCACACCTGCATCACTCCCAAAGCCCCCGCACACACACCTGCATCAATCCCACCCCCACCCCACACATACACACACACACACAGTGCCGCTATTCGCTGTGCAGAGCTACCTCCCTAGGCGTACAGGGAACCGGTGATTGTGGATTAAAATTCCATATATGCTATGGGTGATTATATTTCTAGTTTTCTTTACACACTCCCCTTGCTCGGAGATTCAGTGAGTCTTACGTCACTTTCAGTTTACTTCAAACAATACCAACCAGGACAACAATACCACAAAACGAATTGCTTTCATTTGGAATTTTACCCCTTAGGCTTAACCACTGGAGGATGGTCCTTGTAATACTAAAACTGTGTTTGGTCGTGTATGTATTATGTCATATGTCAGTTGGACCTTGGAAGTTTCTTCGTTAATGTACTTCGCGATGCCACAACCACATGTCTGTCTGACAGCCCCTGAACCACATTGTTTCCCCTACTGGCAGGCCCTCTCTTCAATGCTAAAGCCCTATAGTGCAGGGGCTTATGTAATTCCGTGGGAATTACATGTTAAGTTTTGGAACCAATACTAATTGTAATCACTGTTGTGTATGGATTCAGGAAAAAAATGGTTCCATTTTTTCTTTTTGTTATAAGTGTCATTGTGGGGTGATTGAATATGAGTTTCCAAAATTGCTTGCGACACCATTTCGAGAAAAACATGTTTTCATAAACCTATCACAACATAGTCATGCAGCATATCAAAAGGCAGCTTATGATGTATGACATAGAGATAGCCACATAATATGCTTCAAATTTCAATTTGGTGACATAAAATTTGACATAATCAAATAAATTTATCAAATATTGTCTTTCCTTCATCTGACACCAACATTGTAAGTATTGGCCTATATTAATGGAAACCATTTATTCAATCAATGTATTCTCCCATTTCAGAATATATACTACCATGACACACTTATGTACGTAGTAATAATATTACCCAGGTAAGGTTAATGTGACTATCATATAGTCGTGCACAAGTGTCAAATCAGGCCTACCAGTACAGTCAGAATTGACACACTGACAGTCGTGTCTGGGTTATTAAATGACAAATGACATAAAGCCAAATCTGCAGTCAATTCAAACACAGGAGTGACAAATTATATCACAGTAAAGAGATAACTACATATTACAAGTGGGGTATGCAAGTGCGGTGCAGCCATGGAACCTTGGAAACTGGAGGCACATATGATTCAGTGATGAATCGCGGTAGCACCTCAAGCGACGTGACGGAAGACAACGTGACGGAAGACCACGCAATGAACGTTTTGCATCCAACTGCATCAGGCAAGTGGACAGATTTGGTGGAGATGGTGTGGTGATGTGGGGAGCCACCCCATACACCTGCAGATCGGAATTGGTGCTCGTCCAAGGCAATCTTATGGCCGCGAGATATACCGACCAGATTCTGTGTCTTCACGTGCATCGTCTTGTCGACCGCCAAAGAGAGCTGTACCAGCAGGACAACGCCAGACCTCACACAGCACGTGCTACAGTGGACTACCTGGACAATGTCCTCCCCTGGCCCTCCAGATCCCCGGATCTGAAACCAATTGATTACCTGTGGGATCAGATAGATAAACGTGTACGTCAACGTCGTAATCCGCCATTGAGGCTTTAACAGTAACTGTTGTTCAACATGCTGCAGGAGGAATGGAGAAGGATTCCACAACGAAACATCCAACAACTGATTTAATCTGTGTCAAGGAGGTGTCGTGCAGTTCTAGCAGTAAGAGGTGGCCATACAAGGCAGTAACGTCAACGTCACCTCGTGGACAGCAGAAATGACTATGATAACTATCATTCTTGCGAAATGTGCACGAGATACCAATGTATTGCTCTACATAATTTCAATGCTGTACTGTTTATTTTCGTTGATTTACATAATTGAATAAGACCAAATATTTCAATGATATTTTGCTTTTGCGTTTCTTTTTTTGAAGAGTGTACTTTTTCAACATCTAATTGATTTGTCCTGGGGACATACCCAAGAGATCCAGAAAGTTTCATTGAAATCCATCTAGTAGTATTTGAGTAAAGATGCTAACACATAAATACACACACACACAAACAGGGTTGAATGCATACCCTCTGCAACAAACCTTCGGTTTTGGTAGAAGCACTTATGATCATAGTGATTATTATGTATACATATATTATTGAGATTCATGATATATAATGGTAGTTGTAAAACACACATCACAAGGTACATTTTGACATACTACATGCCTATGTTGTGATAGATTTATAAAAATATGTTTTTCTCACATTGGTGTTGCAGCTCGATTATGGGTACCGATGTTCAGTTACCCCAGAATAACACTTATAATCAGCAGAAAAAAATGGAACCATGTTTTTTCTGAATCCATATGCAATACTGATCACAGTTATCAGTGGTTCCAAAAATTAACATGCACTTCCCACGGAAAGCATTTTTGCTACATAAGCCCCTGCACTACTAAATGAAGCAAGTCTAGATTTCCCCAGGCTCTGAATCTCTGGTCTCCCTGGTGCTCCTTTTCAATTTAAATGGGTTTGTTACTATAAAAATTATATATATTCAGAGACTAAGCGTTAGTCTACAACCACACAACCTTATTCTGTGCATGGGCATCACTTACCTCGGTTATTTTTTGGTCTGTGTAATTCAAATCAAACATCACCTCACACCTACGCCTCTTTTACTTTCAAATGTAAATACATGACACATAGAAGTTGACACAAATACACGAGACAAAGTTACAGATGACTTTGTTACATACACCGAGCGTGGTGTCACATACAGAGCTCGTCCTGCAGGTGCGTGGCGCTACTGGGTACAACTGACGAGATCTCACAGGGAGGTTTGACTAGATTAACACTTTTCCTGTGTCCCAAATACAATGAAAATAGGATGATAATACAGGGGTGTTAATCTGTTAAACCATCAGGGAGGAAACAGTGAATACTACTATACTCGACGTCTGAACGAAATCTGTCCTGCCTAATAACATTAAACTACGGATATACTAAACTAAGATTATTGACGTGGGGTAGCCTGATGGTTAAAGCGTTCGCTCGTTACGCTGAAGACCCGGGTTCGATTCCCCACATGGGTACAATGTGTGAAGCCCATTTCTGGTGTCAATCGCCATGATATTGCTGGAATATTGCTAAAAGCGGCGTAAAACTAAACTCGCTCACTCTTCTTCAATAGTCTTCCACATTGCCCCGAGAAAGTGTTTTGGCACACTTCGAGAAGGTCGAAGGTCAAGGTCATGATTGAGAAACATTTGTGGTTACACTTTCTCAAAAACATCATTAAAACTGATTCATCATCATTAAACTTGGTACAGGTCTTCTCTTTGGAAAGGATTAAAAAGTATTCCAAGATAACGTTCAGCGTTTCGTAAACCATGTGTTGTTACAAATCACACGATATTTACTGATGGTGAGATTACCAAGTTTAAACTCCGAGGTTAACGTAGGAATGAATCTGTGTGCACAAAAAAGTTTTTTCTTGAATAAACAAAGCCTAAGCAGAGTCATTCAAAATGTCATCCTCAAATCTGCACATTTTGTTATTGAAGGCATAACTGTGACTTTCTTCTCGCTTGCAGCCTGAACAGATGAGTCAACTTTAAACTCCATGTTACAGAAGCTGATTTCATGATAGTCGAATGTAATCACCAGGGTAGATTTAATACTGAGTATAAATCTAATGCTGAAAAGTGTACTTACAAATGAAGAAATTTCAGTAAATTTGATTCAGATCCCGGATGACCCCCAAACTTCTGTTACGAGATGAATTCCCGATTGAAACTATCCGCATTCAGTACTGCGGGCTATTAGGCCTAAATACAAACTAACATTCATCAAGGTCAAGCTTGTCTCTGAGAACTTTGGCCTAACATGGTAATCAAATATTGTCAGTTACTGTGGCTTTTACTTGTACAATCCGGAGACATGGGCAGTTGCTGAATCTTGAAAGGATGTTTTCATTGAGGTCAAGGTCTGGGAGTAATGTCAAGGACAAGGCCACGTGGTACATGACGCGTGGTTAGGACCCTGACGTCACACAGTGTACACATGTGGCTCCTCGGCGTGACGAAACAATACCTCAACCACTAGAGTAACCAACATTGTATGGCTATGAAATAAGTTAGTGTAATCCCAAATATAACATATGTTACATAGGTTGGCTATGAGTTGAGTTGAGTTGAGTTGAGTTGGGCTTTACGTCACATAGGCATTAT